ATCGCCTGCCAGAAGCACAGCCTCCAAGTCAGGAACATGATAGAGAAATGGATGTTGGAATGTGCTCGGCTCTTGAATCTCACATGGCCCATGACGGTTTCGGCACTAGGTGACATGTGTGTCGCAGCATGCCGCATGCAGTCGGACAGCAGCAGAAAAGGCGACGATATGTGAGCTGGAGACTGTACAATCCGATCCCGTTTTTGGTGTGGCAAATGTAGCTACACCCGGGACTTGGTCGTCGTGAACGATTCTGAACTTGGTTCTGAGCTTGCCCACGAAGTCCGTCTTGTTCCGTAGCCTGCGGTATTCTGGGTTTTCTCGGTTCATGGCGGCTCTATCTTCTGGGTAGTTCACGAACAATCAGCACCATTTGGCGTTATCTTGAGCTTCGTGGATAAATCTCGGTGTCGCTTAAACTACTAACTATGCTTATCATCTGATTGAACATGGACCCGTGTTTGGGTTTCCGGTGGCGAGGACTTTGGTCACACATGTAGCTTCGCCTGATGTACCCACTGAGTGGCGCATGGTGCGACACTGCTTCACGTCAGATTGCACGAGGAGCCTTGCCGCACTGCCAGCATGGCACCTGACGGGCAGCTCGGCCGAATGATGCCCAATGACTATGGTGACTTGGCCACATGCAAGTTTTGGTGTCAGAAACTGCTATCTCCGCTCGCGAGGTTTGGGAGCGCCGTGTCTGCAGAGACCGTGCCATCCAGCGATCCGACCCTCGGCGAAATACAGCTCAGTCTTTCAAGTCGATGTCCCCATAGTTCGAAATGGCTTGCCATTGATTATCCCTGGGTCGCCGCAGCGTGAAACAACCCCTGAGGTTCCAGAATACTGGCCAGGATCAAGCGCAGCGGTTGCTGGGAGCAGAGGATCGTTCATTCACTGTCGAAAAAGGAGGTTCAAATCCCTGATCATCTGCAAAGCGACATTACGACTGTTAGAATCCTCGCAATCAACATTAGCCGCATCATTATGACCATCGTCATTGCCACTTTGACCATTGCGCAGTGGCAGAGGCAAAAGAAACGGTGCTAGACTCGGAGATGCAATGGAATGTGTTTAGTGTTTTTTTAGTCTGTTTCTGCGGGCTATTTCTTCCCCAATCATGCACTGTTGTTTTCCTGCTACAACGTCTTCAATGTTGAGCTTGCCCTGACGTGTAAAAAGGAATTTGCAGCTCCTACATACGAGAAGCCTGTCCTTAATCGGATGGCATAGCAGCATCTGCTTGGAAACTGCCCGACAATTCTGGCCAAGCCTAGCACGAGCGGTCGCGATTACTGACCTGCACTGTGGCTACAGTTCCTGCAGGAGGTCAGGCAAGTGGATCGGTGACTCCGATGCACAGAACGGCAATCTCCAGAGTCAGAGCACGCCCAGAATGAATGGAGTTGCGCTGCTCGTGCATTGCATCGCGCTTGTGATGCTTGAGTTTGGAGTTTAGGCAATTGCTGATCCAGCGCCTGAAGCGCCAAGACACTGCCGAAACAGATGACTCCGAGGCCCTGGGGCCGAGAGCATAAGGCAAAAGGTATATGCCTGCACCCGCACGCTACAGCACCGTGGTTCAGAAGTTTGGAGGTTGCGAGGAACCAGCCAGGATGGAAAGCCACGCTTTTTTTGGGATGCTCCAGTTCGAAGGCGTAGGTGGGCAGGGCCGCCCTGGACCGCCCTGCGCTGCAGGGCTTAGGGCTCGGACGCTCCTGGGGCAGCACCTGGTCTCCACCGGCGAAGCCGCCTCGCGGGTTGAAGGCCTCCGCCTCCAGCTGCTCAAGTTTTGTACTGCTTGCTACTGCAGCTGTTTCCGCGAAATCTATGCTACGCGTCACCTTGCACTAGTTCCTTCCCCCTAAAATTAAAGCCCTCCCCCCTCCCCAATACAAAAGTTGGATTTCGGGGCCGGAGTTTTTACATTATGGGTTTTCGGGGGCATCCGGGTATGAGTCGGATTGAGAATAATTGAATAATAAAGAGCCAGACGCAAAGACCGTCCATCACGCAGCCGTTCCAGCTGCAGAGCAGACAGTCCCGACCTTCAGCCCTGCGAAGCCCTAAACCCTAAACTTTGCCTTGCTTGTGCGAGTGTGAGCGTCGAAACCCTAAAGTTTTTGTTTTAAAGCCAGGCTTTGTCCGACTGTGAGTGTCAAAAAAAGCTCTGGTCCTTCTGGCTGTATTAGAACTGGTACAATCCTGGGCCCCCAACTGTGGGCCCGAAACCGCGAACTGCCGGGGGCCGGGTGTTTTTGTAATAGGGGGGGTTTCATGTAGGGTAAGGGATTATGGCCCGGAACTTAGCCTTCGGCATCCTTCGGCTATTCAAGACCTGAGGGCTCTCTTTGAAACTGCACGGTCACTGACATACACACTGTAGCACGAAGCAGCATGCTTGGGAGGTGCGTGGGCGTAGCCCCGGCCAAAGCCCCTCGCGTGAGCGCCTGCGTCCGGCACAGGTACGCTCACCGTTCTATAATGGCTTTCAAAGATCACAATTTGTCCAAGTCCTCTGGCTTGATGGGGTGACTGGTTTTGTTTCATATGGAGAAGAACGGCAACTAGCACGTCCTTGCCTATGGAAACCTTGATCCAAAGATAAAGTTTGTGCACCCAGCTTGTTGTTCTGATGGGTTCTGTGAATGCTTAAAACAGGATCTCATGCCATGATTTGTGGCAGGTCACTCCTGTGCCCGCTTCTCCGGGCCTGGTCGAAGTTTCGCAAAGGCCGCACAGCGCACGCATATGAATCATATATGGCAAAAGAACACTTTCGCGGAATGTGCGATGTTCTAAAGTCGCGACAGAGCCGCGCAAATCGAAGGTCCGTTCTATACGCCCGGCACCCAGGCTCTTGCAATGCACACTCTGCAGCCAGGAGCAGAGTAGCCTAGTTCTGACGCCACGACTGGCTGATGACATTTGCCTGAGGCGGCCATGACCGCTTTCCCGCAGATGCAGAAGGCACACGAGCATTCAGAAGCTGTGCTGCTTTACTGAGAATCGTGGCGTCTCGAGGCCACTGCAGTCGTCCGGACAAGGAAAGGTCCGGCAGCTTCGGCCACTGGATTCAAAGCAGAATTCGGAGCCAGCAACATGCAGTCAAAATTGAGCACAAAGCAGATGCTCCAAGGGAAGCCTGAGATAGGCGTCGCAAGAAGACATGGGCCCATTCAGCCTCCGCCGGCTTCGACATGAGACAACAACAGCGTGTTCATGCCGAGGTTATCGCATCGACGTCAGTTTGTTGAAGCAAACCAGGAACCTGAATGCAAGTAGCAGCTCACAAGAACATCGTGGGGGCGCAATTGCAAAATCGCCAGACGCGTGCACGCTGTGAGCCTGCCGAGAATCAGACACTTGAGATTTGTGTCTGTAGAGTTCTTTAGTATTCTCCACGAATATGTTTCGCCGTTGGGCACTGAAATGCAAGTGAACGCACAGTCACTGTCGGGTCATGTCCTATGAATGCGCCACAGGTAAGCGAAACCGGTGCTGATGCCATCCGGTCCAAACTTCCCAATGTACCCGATGCTCCCTGATTACACCGAAGGCGTCGACGGTTCCTGAGATATCTGGAAACAAGTTTAAGGCACTACGATTAACTGTTTCGGATGGCAGGTCCCATGGCACAGGATGGTTACTCTTTCGCAGCTCAGGTGAAGGAAGTTTCAGCTGATGGCCTCTCGACTGAAACAATGTCGAAGCTCTCTTGAAGTAACTTCAGCCGCCTCTCTACGGCTTCGACCCGAAGCACAGGCGCCGTCCTGCCAAGCTTGTTCCTGCCCAGACCACTAAGCTGGAGCCCCAGCCCTGAAAGTCGAGGCAATCTTCTTGTCGGCACCGTGTCGTTTTGCCTAGGCCCAAACGCTCGGCGTCAGGGTGGAGGCTGAGCATGCTGAGAAGAGGGCAGTCGACCTGCAATGCTAGTAGTGCTATTCCGAAAAATACCTTAAATTCGTTTGCGGAACTATATCGCTCAAGAAGATACCAAAGTGGGTCCAGTGCCCGGAGCTGTAAGGAGGAAGATTCCTAGACATGTTTGCAGCGTGTACCATTGGACCTGCTTGGGCGCACCAGCATTCTCAAAGGAATCTTGCGGTGCTTGCGGGATGTGCAGTCTACAAGTGGGGAGGTTGCACGTCTAAGACATGCCACCTTGTTACCTTGTTTCTGCGCATGATGCAGAGCATAATTAGTTTCTTGCTGCATGCTGGCCACAGCCAGCAACAAATGGATGCACGATCTTACTCTTTTCCACGATGCCGCACATGTGAGACGAATGCCGTAGCTGTACCCCAAGACTTCAGTAGATGCCTCATGCAGTGACGGCCATAGTTGATGTGCAAGTCAATGCAGGGGTGACGACCACCGACGCTGGTAGGGGAGTCACAACGATAGAGTAGATTTGCAAAATTGTTAGTTAAACCGTCAAACGACACATTTCTTGCACTTGGCATTGTGTGTCAGTATTGCCAACTTGAAGTTCTCTTTTGCCGAAGCAATTGCAGAGCTGACGTTGAAGCTTTATGACGCGGTTTCCGCCTGTGACAACCAGACAACATCGAAGAGTCTAGTTCAGTGCTCGCTTCTCAGGTTGGAGCCAGAAAACATCAGTCCTACTCAGCAGGGACGGTCAGGATGTACATAGATTTCGGAGAGAATTCCCAATTGACTCTCTCCGTATATCGTTTTGACGACGGTCTTTCGGCCAAGCCTCAATTGGTGAGCTGAGCTGCAAAGCTTTCTGACAAATGCGGCTAGGCACGCTTGAGCTACTGCTCTTGTTTGGGAGTTCGGTACATTTCAGCGATGCCCGAGCCTGACAAAATTCACGACTATCCATGCCGACAGTCTGAAAAATTCTGCCGTGGTTTCGAGCGAAATGATTGGGCTCTGTTTGTTCGAGAGCGCGATGGCGATTGGAAAGGAAGTCCTGATTTTCATTCGTGTAGCCGGGCCAAGCAGCCTTGCTGGGTCTTTCAGCCAAGGTGGGTCGCTTTTCGTTCCAGCTTGAGCCGGGAAGCGATTCGCAGCAATGGCTGCGGGAAGGCCCAACGTCTTGCAGTGCCCCGTGTCTGTACGATGATAAGTAGGTGTGTATTTTTTTGCCACAGAGGCCAGTCAGTGGACTTGTTCTTTTTGCCGCTGGCCGCCTGGGACTTCAGGGTGCGACCCACAGCTTCCCGGCTCTCAGCTTTCCGACGCGCTCGCGGTCGTGGTGTCTCCGCAGGTCTCAGCCGGATCCGCCACGGCCAGCTGCTCAGAAGTTGTCGCCATCGTTGCATTCCCTTCGCACACGGACCTCGACCGAGGCTTGTGCTTCCCTGCGATTGGACATTGCAAACAGTTGTTGCCTTGGAGTTGTGAGAGGACCTATAAAGTATGTCAGTTCGGAGCACTGGCAACCACGGTATGATATAGATTTATATAGGCTGTGTGGAGCGAGGTGGAGAGACCGCGGAGGCACCTTCCTGCTTCGCCAACTCTGCTCTTCACTTGGCGAGACTCGAAGACTGGTGTGATGTGCTTTGCGGAAGCTGTACGCTCAGGTTGGTGGTGCAGCCCTGGACTTCCAAGAGAACATGATAACGCTTGTCCTGGGATCAGGTACAGCAGGAAGCCCAGGAGATGCTTGAACGGCTTGCTTTTGTGTAACTAGGATGCGTTCACATGTCGTGAGGTCATCAGCCCGTATGCACCCGGGCTGGTAGAAGTCAGTTTGCCACTCCCGCCGAGCTCCCAGGATTTGCGTGTTCTGCGCTTGTAAGCGATGGGCTATCCATCAATGATGTTCAGTGACCTTTGGACAGGTCTGGCGGAATCTTTGGAACCCAAGTTCTGGCAGCCTGCAGGCCGGGAGAGTGAAGGCGATTGGTTCTCTGGGCTCGAAGTCTTGTTGGTACAGGATTTTGTAGTCCTCAGCCGCTTTCTCATTTGTACGTTCATTCCACAGCTGCTGGGTTGCCATCGTCAGGTACCAGGTCCCGGCAGGCCAGGCAGCTTGGCACACAGCGTCGAACCCCCTGCAGTGGGCAGAGATCTGAGCTTTCCATTCAGAGCAGAAGAGCAGAATTTGTGCAGGCTGAGCTGTTGCGCAGCTACCTGAGGCACCGAAAGTGGCCAGCGCGAGTTTCGTGGAACTTCCACAGGTGGACTCGTGGCGAAAGTCCATTATACCAGCAGGGCCTGAGCAATGAGCGACCTGCGAGTCCACTTTCGTAGCACCAGACTGAGAACCCAAGGAACCTGGCGGCAACATCACCGCAGACATTGCCGTCATTTCAGGCCACAGAGTTTCAGTTGAACTGCAGCTCTAGGTCACTATCAGCGCCCGAGATGAGGAGATACATTGTCAGCACCCCTTATCAGCCAAACCGTACCTTCATGTCCATAGTTTGATCATCATCGCAGCAAGCCGGGCAAACTGTTCACGCTGTTTGCTCGTGGGCTTGAATCGTTTCGGTTGGCGAGTTTCTGTATAACTTATTTCCGAAGTAGTTGCAGTCACTCCTTGTGTCGCTGGTACTGCCGACAGACAAGCTGCCTGGTTCTTGCTGCTCCATGTCACCTCTGCTGGAAGCACATCTTTGTGGCAAAATCTGCGGGCAATCCCCTTCTAATATCCAGTAGTGCAGCCCGAGTGCAGCCCATGACGCCGTCGCTAGGGCTCACTTTGACGGGTTATGCCGGGGCGGCCCTGCACCTGCATCCTCCAGCTCACTTCCGCAACTTGTTTGCAGAGCACCTCCTTCAGGGCGGCTGCCATATTGCAATTGTCTACTGAAGCCCAACCGAAGGTCCGAAAGTTGTGCAACAGCATACTCTCGGAAACGATCATTGGCACTGCTGGTGAATGGCAGTGTCTGAGGCGGCCGAAACCGCCTTTGTGTTATGCCAAGGATCCTGTAGTACACCTGTACTACAGTACTACATGGTGTGATGCTCACAGCACTTGCAGGCTGTAGCCTGTGTCTTGCTGTTACCAATGATAGTAAGGTATCATCGCTCTCGAAGACCCAGGTGCTGGTGCCCGGCACCAAGAATTGCAAAGGCTAGCGCCTGGTTGACTGCAACGCTCTCTCTGACACTGCATGGAACCCTTGAGTCTGCTGGACTTGCGGCCTTATGTGATGAGAGATGTAGACAAGCCCAGACGGGGACATCAGCAACGACAAGTCTAGATATGCGTCGATCTCTTAAGGCTGATGAGCCTTGGGTGAGAGTCGTTGCATCCATGCCAGGGACCCGACATGTTACGATTTGAGTGCCTTCGTGCGAATGCAGCCTCCATCGCTGCGAGTGCAGGGCAGCAACAGATCCGGGGGAGGCCTGGGCTGAGCAAGGACTTCCCAACCTCACTCTCTGGAATTTGAGTCTGTCATCTTATCATCGTTGATTTGCACCGCGTGGTCTCCGGGCCAAGCGACGGTCTACGGCCACTAAGAAAGCAGCGTGGCTGCCCTCACTCAACGTCAGGCGGTCGTCGTGCAGCTCCAGTCAACGACTGCACTCTACGCAGGTGCGCCGTTCTTCGAAAGAGTATCGTGTACTGGCGCATAATTATGTTGCGGGCCATTTTGCCAGTGCAGACCTGCGCGACTTCTATGCAGCACATTGCCTCGTGCTAGCGCTGGCAGCTACTGTAGCATCAACCCAGACTCCGCTGGTCATCAATGCCAGGTGCTGAGTATTTTGTTCGAGTTGCCGTGGCCTTAGCAACTAATTAACCGGGACTTGATGGAAGCTCAGCATCGAAGCAAGGCAGGCACATGCCGCATGATTTTAGTTGATCTTCGTGAGGTACTCGTGGCAATTGCGCCTAGTTCTGGGCAGCGCGAACCCTGGCAATTCCAAGTGTTTGGTGAGGCCGGGTAGCTGCCGAGGTTGAACACTACTGCAGTGGAATCATCCGCATCAGCGAGAGCTTTGTCCTTTGCTGGCTGCAGGCAGCTCCCCCTGTGCCGTTTGAGTCTGCGACCAATCGCTCTGTCGGACACTCGGCAAGGGGACATGTGCGGAGGCTGGTGCTTCATGTCACATGTTACATCTCCATCGGTGCTCGCCGAAGAGCCAGCCCAGACTCACGAGGCAGGGATCCTCTCGACTGGTTCGTTGGGTGCCACCATCTCGTTCACTTTCATCCAGGCTAATGCCTCGAGCTTAGATTGGTCATGGAAGCTTTGTCACGCAGCCATGGAGCTGTTAAACGAGAAGCGGTGAAACAAGATCTGTCTATGCGAGGCTCGGACCCTGATTACGGTCTATTTTCTACCGGAGCAGGTGCAAGGCAGCTAGGCTGCATTGTCACCCGAAATTGCCCGGCAAACATTGCATGCGGGCATTGTTTGATGAGCAGCATGGGGAATTGCCGAAATATGTTGAAATCAATTCAGCATCCGGCAGGGCATGTATGCAGTGCTACAGCTACCATACAGACATGCTGAGGCATTTTTTTCCGCTACTTGGTGCCGGACTCAGCATTTACTTATATAATGCCCCGCCGTGTGTAGAGATTTCCTCAGCTGACGTTCGCAGTTTTCCTCGCAAAAGGCACTCCAGGCACCTCGTGGATTCGACTTCGCCACACTGTCGAGCTGGCTACCAAATGGGTAGGACCGCGGAACTGCCAAGGGATAGGATTCCAGCTGTGAGGCCCTGGCAGTTGCGAGATGGTGGCGCTGCTATCTACGTGCGGGTCCCGGGAACCCCCTGCAAAGCTGTCATGCTACGGCTTGTAATCTCTGCTGGCTTCCTTGATGTTGTCACACCAGGCCAGCCCACAGCCAGTGCAAGGACTCGCGAGCAGGCACCGCATTTTGCAGTGTTGTGTTATGACTGTAGCTTCTGGGCAGTACGATGAGGCTCGGTGTCGAGAGTCAAAGTTCGGACAGCGACGATGGAAGCGTTTGACTGTAACTGATACAATCTTCTGAGCTGCTGGAGATTGCTTGGGTATTTTGTGAAACTTCGGCGTGCAGGGTGCCGCCAGTGTCTTGCAGGCGCTTTGTCCTGGACTAGCGACATTGCGACGATCGTCCTGCCGCCATTGTCGCGATTGCTGGCGCAAGAGCGGCCGACTCGGATTGTGTGTTGGAGTCTGTTGCGATCTCCACAAAGTCAATACATCAATATTTGAGGTACGGGTTTGCCGTCTTCGCCATGCTTCCGTCTTACCCAGGGGCTTGGGTCCTCGCCTCATCGCGAGAGTGCAGATGCTTTGGCCGGAACTTGTGTTTTTGTAAGGTTGAAGAAGTGAACGGTCGCGGAACCTTCGCCCTGGAGACTCAGACGGAGGACGCTGCGTGCAGGATGCAGTCGAAGTTGCTGTGCCATGACGCTGTGCGGCGAGACCCACAGCTTTGCGGCTTTGCACAAAGGAGGCTTCCGAAGTCTGCCAGTAAACCTTTCTCTGATCCCAAGCTGTCAAAGTGGACATCAATGCTGAAAGACCATCCAGGATGCCTCTCCCTGCGACACTCTTCCTGCAATACATGGGCCTGATGTTTTCCCGCAGCTTGGCAGAATTGAATCTCTTGCAGCTCAACTGTTTACCATGCAGGTGTTGCATTGAAGAAAAACGATTTGGGCCTGGAAGACCAGTGCGATGCCGCATCCGGGAACTGCCCCTCGAGCAGCGCCATTTCGTGGTCATGTCAGCGCAGGTCCGCCTGCGCTGAATCATCCGTGCGTCGTGAACTCAAGAATGCACTCGTACAGACGCTTGAAGGTGGGAAGGTAAGTCGGGAGACTTACATGTCTTCCTGCATCTCGATTGCTCTTTTGGGCCAGCAGCTCCTGTGGAGTGTATTGAATCCGACGGAGGCCTGTCGACAACAGAGCCAGAGCAGGAAGCACTTGCCACGCTGACCTTCAGGCAGGATGTCGACTTTTGCTGCACATGACGTAGTCCTAATAGTAGCCCCGGAACCCGGGCGAGTTACCTTTACGGCAAGATTTCGCTGATAGGCTGATTCGATCTACCTGGGCCTCCGGGCCCCCTCTCAGTAGATAGTGCTATCAGATAGTGTTGTCCCTGAATCTAGAATCGGTCTATTACACGTAGGTTTCACACCAGCAAAGGAGATTGAGCGTGCCTGGGGCATTCCTTTTTCTTGCGAAGACAAGCTGTAGTCTGGGGCATTCCGCCTCGATATGTCCATGGTCTGTATACAGGCCTTATAAGTGTACCTCCTTCATTCAGTCAAACTGAGAGGATGGTTGCAAGCCCTGCGAGGCCAGGCGCGCAGCATCCATCGCCTGTCCCTGCCGCGCTGGAGGCTCAGGCTTCTCAGTCAAGGGCCGAGCTTGGGACCAGCGTGGTAGAGTGCCGTCCAACGCGACAGCTGGGGAACCTCTTGGCCTGTCAGACCAGTGGCAGCACTCAGCACAGCCTGCTCGCGGAAGTCCAAAGTGCTCTCACGCTTCACCCACTTGTTGAACGTCCCACATCGACCGGCACGGTGGACAGCTGTTTCCCACAGTTGTAGTCAGGAACCGGGGAGTAGACTAGTTAGGAGTTAGACACTCAATGCTTTGCAGTCGGACTGCTCCAGGCTGTATCTCCACGTCGAAGCTCCATTTGGTTACAGTTTGCAGCTTACAGTGCACACTCGCCACCTCCTGTCAGTGCAGCTTGTACAGACAGGTATCGTCATGGTGATTTCTCCTTAGGATGTATCAATCTTGCAGCTGCTCCCGATTCACGATTCCTCAATGCACACTGCATGGACGTGTGGCCAGGCTGGGTCATGCCGGTATCGTCGTGGTCTGCTCAAGTGGCGCGAGGTGGGCTTCCCGGACCATTCCACACATGATCTGCATGAGTCTGCATGCATGTTCACAGGCATTCAGTACCGGCCCAATGCGAAGCCCGTGCATGTACAAGTCCCTGCTGCCTGAGCAGGTCCTAGAATCCTGGAAGGCCCCTATATACTGAACGCCCCTCACATGTTGACATCTCCCGCCCTTTCCTTCTTCAAGAGGTCCGAACTCCATGGCAGTGGCCATGGCAAACCTCATTGCAATCGGAACTTGCGTGGCTGGCCGGGAGCGCCGGCCTTGGTTAGCAGCAGGATTTCGAACAGCGAACCTTATGTAAACGGTTCAAGAGCGAGAGCACCAATGTCACAGCCGCAAGTCGGCTGATAAGTGACGTTCGCATCGGTTCTGTGATGTATGGGGCTGTGAAGCCTTGACTGAAACACTGGGCCTGTCGGTGAAGCTTATGCACTGGACATGGCAGGGACATCATGTGCATCTCCACGACCGATTCGCTGACCGCCATGGACGAAATAACCATCACGGCTGGCATCATCGTCCCCCTGCAGAATCCAGATGTGCCTCAAGGCCTCTCTGATGTATTATGTATGATGCATGTTGGAGTGTGCATAGGCGCAAGATTAGATCGATATTCTGTACGGCTTTCTGGCCCCTGCTCTATCACTGTATGGCGCTGTGCCTTAATCTGAAGTGTTGATGACATGTCAGGGCATAACACTAGGTCTCCTTAAGATCCTTAAGATACAGAACACGCACAGGTTGACATGAGGGATTGCAGTCAGGACAGCAGATGCAAAGTTGACATGGGTGGCTGGAGTGCCAACATGTGCTCTTGTCCTCTTCTTCGATGGTCCGAGTGAGTTTTTCCTGACAGTGTCGTCGCGAGAATGATCACGTCCCCTTGCTTGAGTCAATCATCTGTCTGTGCGTGAGCGTGCAAGTGTTCGCATGTCTCTCAGCACCGACGTCATTCTGTGTAGAAGAGGGGTGATGTCAACGCCGTGCATGCATAATCAGGATCTGGTGATCTTCCTAGTGCATCCAACTGGCATTTGAGGCAGGGTGCTGCAACAGACCTCACATGGCGTCTTCACACTACAGAGCCATAATCTCGGACGTTCGTTGGCTGCACCACTGATGCAAAAGAGGCTCACTCGCAGAGCCACGCGATGTTTCCTGAAGATCGGTTCTCTAGATTACATCACAACGTACGGATGTCCCAGCCAGGATAGCTTCTGAGCTCACCGTGAGCCCTGAAATGGCTCCAGCATCCCGATGGCTGGGCTGCTATGTGCGCGGTGCCCAAGCTCGCAGGGGTGATCAGTGATCTGTGGTGAAAGCATGTGACAGCTGGTCCTGGAACCTGACATGGCGGAAAAGTATCAGTCTGACGGGAGGCACAACCGGGATCTCAGGACCTTTGAGCCTCCGCGTCGAGTGCGACGGATCTTTGCTGCAGCGGCTGAAGCTTCAAATGTTGGGGGACTCAGCACTCATCTCGCACATTTGACCGTCTTGCCTAGATTTTCTCTCGCCGTGCGTGACTTAAACAACAGCTGCTGCCATGCAAGTGACCGTGCTGTGCGCACATTTTGTTCCTGTCTGGGCCACCCGGTCGTCAATGTACCGGGTTCAGCACTTAAGCCTCTTATGTGATGACGGTGATCCAACGCTGTCAGGTGCTTTGATCGAAGCCAGTACCAGTAGGTCCCGCAGTAAACTTCAGGGTAGGACGGCAGAGTTTGACCGTTCTGAAGAGAAAGAGAGAGCCTGCTTGTGGCGGTCGCTGGCGAGTGCAGCTAGTGAAGTTCGCAAAAAAGAAGCTGTGCGCACATCGCCCAGGCCGTCGTAGGGGCCGGGTGCCTGGCATTCTACATCCCCCACCCTTGGCCAGTCATCTGCTGCTGATAATGCTTTCTGCAGACGCTCGGGTATGTTCGAGGCAGCAGGACGCTTCTAGAGGCCAACAGGACTGGTGGCCTGAGAACTGCAGGCAGAGAACGACATCACATTTTCGGTGACCACAGTGACAGAGGCTGGACAACAAGCTTGTGGCTTCCGCCGTTGATGCATCCACGTAGTATGTCTGATAGTCTGACATCGACTTGACAAGGTGTTCGACAATTGCGATCCCTTACCCAGAACAAGCAGAGTGAAGCAGTTAGATTAGTGCACAAAATTTTCGCATGCACAATACTTGCATCAGAAGCCAAGATCGCGACAATAGTTGCAAGGGGATGCGATGCAACCTGAAGTAGTCTCGCATTTTCCCGCCAATGCACGCCAATCCCTTCGCTCACACAGTCAACATGCAGGTGCCGGTTGGAGGTGCCATTGTGTTGGTGCCACCCATCGATGTGTTCGACTTTCCGAATCCATGCGAGGCGGACGAGAGATAGCTCCAATTCGAGAAATCATGGCTTTCTTCGCCAAGCTTTAGACTTAAGCTAGATGTCGCTGTGAGATCTGACGCAATTGCCCGAACGTGCCAAGACTGATCTGTGCAATATTTTCGCGCCACTGAAGCCTCCAGTTTAGTCCTCCAGCTGCTCGCAGCGTTCTCTTCACAGCGCAGCTAGCCGAGACCGTTGATATGAACAGGTGGAGGTGCCGAACAGCGCCGCATTGTCGATCTTTGGTCTTCCTCTGCCGGAGTTCCGAACCGCTCGCTTGAACCACGGGATACACCCGGCCATTCTCATTCTTGATGATGGTTTGTGTTGCATGCGTCGTAGGGGTTTGCCATGCAGTCAGTGCCTGTCTGCCCAGTGCACTCTATGTCACTCCTGAACCGGGCCCTGCTTCGCGGATCGGCTGTGCGCATGCACTGTACAAAGCTTCAGCCATGTCATTCACTTCAAAAGTGCGCGTTGCTCACGGTGGACATGCCAGATCTGCCGGTGCTTCCTGCACCTCCTCGGCACTGGGAGCTGCCGCCAGCCACCCGAGAAAACTGAATGTAGTGGCCAATTGCATGCACAGACGTATGCCTGTGTAATTATTCGAAGATGGGGTCGTGGGGGCCTTTGAGGTCGTCCTGCAGTTGGGCGCCCTACCGGCCAACACCTACCTGTTCACTGTGTGTCAGCCCCAGTGGTTGCACATTCCGTCGGCGCGAGCGACCTGCGTTGCTTTGTGCTGCAAGTTTTCAGGCTTGCCGTCCGCAACTTGCGGACAATTTCCGCAGACGATCTGCTGCTGCCGCCTTAGATCTGGGCCATGCAGAGCCCCGCAAGACAGAATCATAACACTGTGATTTGCCGGCGAAGGGCGTCAAAAGTGGCCCGAGACCATATATGTGGTGGGTGCAGTCATGAGTCGAGACCACGGGGTGATACTTTGATGCAAGGTGAAGTCGCCGTTAAAACGCCACCCGTCATGTCAAGTCTACCTGTGAGCTTGAAAACCGGCGAACTGTACCCCGAAGGTGAAATAACACCGGACCCGCGACCTGAGCCCCTGGCAGTCGCCAAACTGGGCAGGACATGAAGCTGAACCGCCCAAGACCAGTATTCTTTCCCAAGTAACGGGCTCCTGCTTGTGTGTTCCCGCCTCGTGCTCCCCTGTCTCAGTCCTGTCTCCGACTTTATTTCCCTTCCGGCGCTGCAGGTTCCAGTGGCAAGCATACACAGTGGCAGCAGGCACTTGCAAGCACAAGTGAGTGTGCTGTGTGACATCTAATGTTGGTGCTTGTGTTGGTCTTCTGGGTACTTGCATGTCTTCTTGTGAACACATTTGCAGCTCGTCCTCATGCTGTCACAGATCAGCAGCATGTAAGTTCAGATGGTGAGCCAACAACACATGCAGGAACGCTTGCTGCAAGCAGCATTGGCAGCCCATCCGTCTCCTTTCTGGACCGGCTGCTTCGCTGGAACTGTTGAACAGCAGCGGCGACATAAATATCCTAACCGCCGGAACGAATCAACGTTGCAGGTGCTTTTCGTTCTTTGCACGCAGGGTGGCATGCGACAGTTTGGTCAAATGCGACAGTTTGGACAAGGATAGTTGATAGTTGCACATCCTCTCCCTCTCCATATCCATCTGTCTCTCTTTCTCTCCCTCTCTGCTTTTCTGTGGCATAGAACGAGACCACAAATGCACCGGATGTCAGGCACCTGAAAGGTGGGGGGGGAGGGCGTGCAGGTCAGATGCAGGGAGTTGAGCCTTTTTGCCGATCGCTGCGATGTCCGCATGATTTCACAGAGCCAGCGAGATCGGCTGCTCACACCCGGCTCATGAGCTGCCCTGCTCCAGCGAGACTGAGTTGGTGGACGCCCGCCAGGACAGCCCAAGAGCTTTTGCCAGCTTCTCTGTGCTGGTAGCCATGAGCCGGAGACTCGGAGACGCCACATCTACCTGGCTTTCTTGCTGTGGGCACTGAGGTTGGGGATAGGGTCGGATGGGGTTACTGAAACCCTGTCTCGCGGCCTGTATTCCTGCTGCCGTGCTGCAGCCTCCAAGACTTCAGAAATCTTCCGACTGAGACGATGCCTTCATTGACACAGAGTTGCTCGACCTCTCCGTGACCGGCTTCACGAAAGGGTGCACCTGACTGCCGTTGCAACATGCAGTCCGCAAGATTAGCAGCGCAGTTGCAGACATGAAGCAGTCTGGCCGATTCTTGCATTGGCATGCTTTTGCTGGATTCAGGCGCGGTGCCTTGAACCAAGTGGTGATTTGTTTCCAACAGTCTTTGGTCTCGGCCTTGGGCGATCACCAGATTCGGTCGCATAGCTCTGAACGAAGGATCGTGCTCAAAGATTGTGCCCGAACGACAACTACGTTGCGCCATCGTCCAAGGCTTCCCTTGCTGGACAGACGCTGAGCGCGAGAAGCCCAGACAGCGAATTCCAGTCGCCAAATATTGCCAATTGCCACTCACTCACATTGCCGGGTCAGACAGGCGTGAGGTGGAGGGCGAGAAGGGAACAATGCGAAAACTCATCGGCGGGTTAGCGATTCACCTTAAATATTTTCCCAGCCCGTAATGCCGTAATGATCGCAGCGTAGCATGACCTTCCTACTACTGTCGTTCTGTCTGTGTGTGCGCAGACGTCCGCTCATATATGACTATATATGCATGGCTACACGGAGTCAGCAAAGCCCAAATACTTGCATACACGAGATGGATTCTGCTCCGCTGATGACGCGTCATGATCTGTGACGTCTGCTAACCTGCAGAAGAGCATGATCAGCACCGCCTGCTCCAGGAACATGTCCATCGTTTCGTAGATCTAGACATTCATAAGGTCATGCAATTCGACATGAAGTCGATTAATTATTGAGTCGCTGCTGCATGTCGCAGTCGATTGGTTGCTGCATGTCGCCGCGGCAAGGCGGCATACGAATCAGCAACTGCCGGGCCGGTTCCAACACTCGGGTGGTTCCTGACCTGAAGGCAAAAACGTGCTGTTCTGCCTGTGAACTGTGGATATGCGACATCTGGCAATTGTTGATATATAATATTACATAGAATGGCGAATCGAGGACTATATGTTGGCACTCTTCTGAATGTGCGACATGCGGTGTGCAACACACTGGTAGCGCATTTCCTGCATTTTGTGTGGTACTGGATGCTTGAGAAGAAGGTTGCTGATACTATCCATGATTCAGACTGCAACGTGGTGAATGATACATGCACGCGCGATATCCGCTGCTCGTGCACTACGATGCACGGTAGTACGCGTGTGGCGGCTTGAGTTGTGAGTGATAAGAGGCGGCAAAATTACTCCAGGAACGGCACATGCGCAGGAATCGCTATCTGACGCGCTGACATACACTTTGGCCTCCACCCTTCTGAGCCAAGTTGAACTCAACCGATGATTGGTGGTTTGTGAAGTCCTGATGAAAGGACACAATGCGGCCTTGTCAAGGCTGGTGCGTTGCGATGTCGCGAAGCTGGTGGCGCAGCGTCATGCGTATTGATCCTGGCGTGATCAAAATGGAAGGGTGGGTAATGGAAGCCACATTTCGAAAGGCCGTTGGCGACATGTTGAAACTTATAACGTGCTCCTTCTGCACAAGGCAGACTGGGCTCGATCATGCCTGCTTCTGGCTGAATCTCAGCTGAGGTCTACATTCCAGACGGTTTCAGGCCCGGTCTCGCAAGTCTGCGAACCCATTCTGACTCGCCTCGTGCGGCATGGGCATCAGCAATCATCGGCATGTGTCCAAACCATAGCAGGAACCTCCACAGGCCGTGTGGTTTCAAAAGCGTCATGTTTGAGTTCACGAGACGGGTTTTGTGACTTTCACCTTTGTTGTAGGATGTTGTAGGACATGGCGCAATCTTGCATATTGACGTGATGTCGGAGTTCACATGCCTATGTACATAGATCTTGCCTTGGATCTGTTTCGCTGACTTCGTATTGATGACCGCCCAAGCAGCCGGGACATGGCGCCGACTGCAAATACGGCAGGGCCTGCAGCACCCTCCTGCAGCCAACCTTCCTGTTGCAAAAGTGAGCCATGCCTCGCAACAAAAGTATATGAGAGGTTTTTCAGTGACAAGCAAAGGAAGGCGGAGACTAAGCCGGTTCATGCAGGTATTCGTGCACCCCTTGAAGCCTTTCGGGTGCCTCCACCATAAAGTGCCAGCGGCCCCTCGAAGCCGACGACGGAGTCAGTATAGCGTGCCGCCGTGCCCCTCACCCCCCTCACCGCGGAGTTTGATTGAGGCTGGTACTTCCGGACCCGCTCGATTCTGAATTCAGTTTCCCATTGTCATCTCAGCAGGCGTGCTGCTAGCCAACAGTTGCTGAGGCAGCAGTCAAGCTCAGCCCCTTCAGACAAGTTCCTCGAAATCCAGTGAGAGGTCGGAGTTGTCAGACTGTGAATGACGGTCCTTTGCGACTTTTTCTGGGCGGGATTGGGGGGCTCATTACGGAAGCAAGCATTTCCATGACGTGCCCAGCTCAATGCTGCTCTGGGCTTTTTGTGGGTATGTGTGGGCTATGGCTGTTCGGCATGGGTGTGAGTCCACGGTGTGAGGATTCGTAGGTGTTCAGATGTGCCGCACGGTCACTTAGCATTTTTAGAGAGGCGTGGTCTCGCATTGGGTGGGCATGCTGCTGTATGCTGCGGCGCTGGTCTTGTACACCGTGCGGCTTGACGGGCTTCAAGCAACCCTTTTCATTAGAGCTTTCAGCACACTGAATAGAATCGCATAGAACGGGAGCGTTTCATTGTGGCCCGTTCACCTGGCACCCGAAAAGCAGCCAGAGCTCAGGAGAGCTGTGCTGGTTTGGGTTGCAGCTCCAATGGTAGAGACCTTCTCGGTGGTGGCGGCCAAGGTCGGAAGGGACTCAAATGACCACAAGGTTGTCTGCCTTTACACGCATGTGCCGCGCAATATGCATGCCGTCATCACCGGCTGCTACTGTAGCTGTCACTAGCAACAAGCTGTCTCTTCAGAGGAGTTTGGACCTCTTGATCTGGAGCCGCCTTGTCGAGAAATTCAGCTTTGGTCTGGTTCTGCTTAAACGTTTTTTTTGCATGTCCAGTACCGAGAACTTGTCAACTACGTAACTACGCGGGAGCATCCTTTCAACGGGCCAGCAACTTCGGAACCCGAGAAGGTTCGAGATTTCCTGCCCTTCCTGCGTTCTCTTCCAGTCAACGAACTTCACCGACGGGGAGGAGCACTGGCGCGTTTGGTCCCGTGGCCACAACACTTCCAATTCGGTTGAGTCGGTGTGGTGTTGCTAAGGCTTCACGGTATAGGGAAGGAAGGGCGCCATCCAGTTCTTCAAGTGTACATGCCTTGGTTCTGTTGTAGAAGTGAGAGTACAAGGGGAAGCAGAAGAGCATTAGCATCATTAGCAGGTTGTCGCTCGGATGTATGCAGTACTTAGCAGTCAGATTCCGCAGGCATGGCTATGATGCTGCAATCTACCCGCACTGCGCTGAAGCTGCAGAGAATTACACCGTGGATGAGAGCCTTTCCACGGCAACGCTGTGCTACAGCCACTCGTTCGGCGCTTTCCAGCTGTGCGGAATGACATCCTCAGTTCAGTTGCGGGATTCGTGAAAGCTGACTTAAAAGCTGAACCGACGACCATCTGAGCTATCAAGCTATGCTTCGCTAATCTGCCGGAAGCACACGTCGAATCCTGTGCTATGCTTCAAAGCTTCATCCCTCCCTTCTGTTCCCAAATTCAGGTTCCGACGACATTTCCGAAGCTTCTGGCATTGTCGTCTCTCTCTGGAATATGACCACAGGAGGCGCTCGCGCAGCATGTTTCCCCACTGCACGTGCTGAACTGTTCAAGAAAGTGCCAGGCGAGGGCAATCGTGCAAACGTCATCGTCAGGGGCCCGTCCCTGGTGGTTACCACGCCCTTAGAGTGGTGGCATGCGTCTTGGCGGACTGGTAACATCGTTGAACTATCGGATTGATGTTGAGTCGCTTTGAGCATCCAGTGTCATGGAAACTGTCTGGCATCGTCTTGTGATTTCTGGTGTGAGCTGAGACGGTCTCACCTTGAATGATGGCACAATTGTTGCCATGACGGAACCCAGGAAAAGACCTTACTCCTTGGCTTGAAGGCAGGTCATCAGAGTCCAAGCCAAGCATGCAACATGTGAAGTGGCGCAACGTGATTCGCTGACTTCTGCTCCCTACTAGGACAAACAAGTCATGACAGCACAACCCAATGAGAAGGTGACACGGGACGCGGATGGCTGCACTTCTTCCGCTGATTGCAATTTGCAGCAAGAGCTCTATCTCGGCACCTCGTTGTTCAAGGGCGACGTTAAATGCTACAACTGCAAGCTGAGTTCCCTGAAGCCTTATGGAGATAGCATCGAGCCTGTGAATGAGTTTTTGTTCCGGCTCGTTCGTCCTTCCCTTATATGGAGATGGCAGCGAGCTTGTGAATAAGTTCTTTTCCGGCTCATTCGTCATCAGCCTGGTAAGCTGAGTTGTCGCCGCAGCTCAGGCAGCATGCAGTACGATGGCCGGGTGCAGGGTTGGCCTGGAGCGCGCTTGAACCTGCGACTGCTTCGGATGGCCCAAGTGATACCTGTCTCAAGGATTGCCCCTAAAGCCACCAAACAAGTTGTAGCTGACCGCTAGGACCTGCTGATGTCCGTGAAACATAGCATCCCAAGTGGGCTCACACGAGCATTGGCAAACGGGGACTGCGTGGTCCGCACCAAACTTGTGGCCGGCGATGGTTGCGATAGTTTGGTGACTGCAGACTGCAGGTACACGAAACTGCCTGGACAGACCATCTGGGATGTGTTTGGAGCCGTTGGAGGAGCTGGTCGAGAAAGAGTATTTTCCAGTCGGTGAGAGATGCTGCCTAACTGCTAGAGTGGGACAGACTTGTCAGACGCATTTGTCAGCGCGTTGTTGGGCAGAAAAACTCAGTAGCTAAGCGAGAGAAACTGTCACTGCGTGCGCCGGGCAATTGTCTTGTACTGCTTCTCCTATTCAGGAGCCAACGGCCTTCTGATGAGTGCGCTTGCGATTTTCGTTTCCAGGCTTTCATTGTTCATTATCCTTTCCAGCTTGTCTTTGAAGCAACCAAGGCATTTAGCTTTTGGCGGCTCTTTAGAAAAGCACTCCGCGCGTCCTACAAACGGACCTACTACACGGTTCGAACTCTGCCGAAGCTACAGGCACATGATGCATCCTTGAATCCTATCAGCAGAAGTCTATCCATGCACGTGCCTCTTGAGGTTTCCAGCCTGGAGAAGTGGGAAACGAAGTGTGTTGCTGAGTCAGTCGCTGAAGCGACCGATGCAGTGGCTGAAATGGGCGATGCGGGAATGTGAGCCACGGTCACGCCGGAACATTCCAACGGCCAAAGAGCTGTACCTCTTCACGGGATGTCCTGTGCAGGCTTGGTTGATTGCTTCATTTCTCGCTGGAAAAGCCACCAGATAATTGGCTCCGTAGACGTTTGCCAGTTCTGGCGCCAAAGGCGCAGAACTCGCATTTCGGAAGCTGTGGCTGTTTGAGATGTCCTTTCCCAAACCTTTGCCAAGGTACCCTTGGAAGGAGGAGGCTCTCGATCTCCTTGCATGGCTACAATGGGCTCCGAATAAACGCAAATGGATTAACAGGGTTAATCAGTCAGAATCAGCCCGAGCCATTCGCACTGCTTGGAGAAAAGTGCGCATATGTGCGCGGCATATAGGTCCCCGCAGATTTTCTTGCAAAGGTTTCGACAATTTACAAGATTAGGGTCAGGGCTGGGCTGTCACATGCGCGGCGATTGGTAGATTGCTGGTAGTAGGAGCAGTGTGCTGCAGAGTGTGTTGATATGACATTGTGGCCCCCAAGTAGCGCAGCTCAACGTCCGCAATTAGTTTGAACGCTTTGCGTCGTCCGCCTCGGCCCGGCTGTGCTTGAAGCAATTGCGTTGTTTCGAAAAGCAGCGACCCGAAAGCCTACCAACGCCCATAGGCCGTAAGCCTTAAACCGGACAGGAAGAGGGGGGGAGGAAGGGGGCGGAGGGGGGGCCAGGGGGAAGGGGTCGGGGGGCGGGGGCGGGGGACAGGTGCAGGGAAAATGTACGTGAAACTGCCCTACAGCGAGCCCAAACCCACTGGAGGAAACAGGCAGCCAGGTTTGGTGGGCCGAGGCGAATGAACGGAAAGTAGCTGGACATGTTTCTGGGTCGCTCCTGAGGGCGATCCAGAAGCAGACTTGGTTGCGAGGCTTCCTTGGAGCGACTCCAACAATTGCCTCGCTGCAGATGCTAACACCGGTGTGCTGAAGGCTCAGGAATGCGAATACGATTCGATGACGCCTGCGCAAACGATTCGTGACTCGTCTTAAACCATCGCTGGCCTCGAGCCAGGGCAGCCGAGGCCTCCGGTGAACATTGCTGACCCTTTCGGCCGCGGCGGCTCCCCAGCGACTTGGCTCGTCAGCACTGTGCCTGTGTCTCGTTAAAGTGGATGCTGCTGTCCAGCAAGGATCCAACTACTTTCGCCTTGTTCCCCTCGTCCATGCAAGTGGCCTGCGCGACATCGCCGGACGGTAATGCAGCCTTCCTCACCCTGTTCGGTTCTTGGAGAGTGAAACATGTGTTGCGATGCTCTCGAAGCGAGTCCGTGCAAAAAGGTCTGAAGGCTTGGTGGAGATCTCGCGGTTCTATGCCTTCCGCAACTTGCCACCGACAAGTCAGCTATGTAATTAGCAATAGGGTTTGATGTTGTCTCGAAGTCGGGCGGTTGCATGGACCAATGCCTGCTAGAGTGGGTCCTGCCTCAACAAACACAACTTTCTGCTGTGTGCAGAATAGCGATGTTGCAATCGTGTGGCTTATGTTGTCGTTTCAGCACCCAACTAGAACAAGCATTTGCCGTCAGACTCCTCACGGTATCAGCGTAGAATTGCCCAAACCAGCTACAATCAAGATGGCACTAGCTGGCTTGAGTTTGGAGAGAGCTTCGTGAAATGATTCTTATTCACCGAAGCCTTGGCAAAGCTCTCGTCAAGGCTTGGTGGTGCAGAACGCAGACCGAAGCCCAGCCAACAATGCCACGTGGCCGCAAGTCAGTCGAGAAAGGCAACCTGGAGTCTGCCACAGAGTAGGTAATGCAGGTCAGACGCTGCGAAAAAGGCAGCTAAGATGATGCCATATGCCTTCACCTCATAATGATATGAGTTGATATGCTGATATGCCGCAGAAGCCGCTCTGCTCGGAAGCACAGGCATGGAGGCTCCAATTGGGGCAGCAAGCGTCTCTTCCAATCCCCGGATTCACCATGCAGGTGCACGTGGCCGATGTACGCAGCTGGTACCGTACTTTTCCATTTGTTGACGCCGGCAGCCCCATGTGTGTGTTTTGCTTTGGCACGCAGGCTTTTCAGCAGTCCGACTCTTAGTCTTAGCATAATTGCAGATCTTGCTCGGTACCACCATGTCCGAAGAGAGAGGCGAGGGGGGTTTGGTGTTTGGTGGTGCTGCCGCACGCTGCCTGCCAAGGCTGGCTATCTCCGCCTCGTTTGCCGGTGCAGCGCAGCGAATCGGCCAAGCGCCACCAAACCTGCTGCAGGCGTGCTCCAACCATTACCCACCATCCTAGAGCCTTTAATTAACCTGTGTACCTAATTGTGGCTGCGAATACTCGGCTCAACTTCTTTGCCTGGCCCCCCTATTTACGTGCATTGTACGCATGCAGTCATGCCCGCGCACATGCACCACAACTATACACTGTACATACTGTAGGTCTCATCAGCGCTCGGCGCATGTATCGTTACAACATGCTTGCATAGGAAAGTCACGTGTGTATATCTACTTGCATGGCATTCACAATTTATCATAGGTTTGTTGCGCATGAAGCCCGCTCGACAGTCCAGGCCTCAATAGTCATCCACGCCATACTGCGTCGCACTGCAGAGGGTCAGAAACTCTACATATGGTATCCAGCATGCTTCTATTTCTACCGCTAGATGACTCGACTCCTATGGAACTTGCAGGTTCTATTTCAACCGTCTGTGCCTGTGCCTTCCGGTGGTGCGCTTCAGCTTCGGCCCCAGCTCAGAGCAGCAAGCGAGCTTCGAGGTAAACTCGCTTCGTTGAGGTTGACACCACCCAGAGGCTTTGAGCTCATGGCATCCGTGCCTCGCACTTCACGAGGCGTACTGGTAAAGGCCTGCAGTGAACAAATGGCCAAGATTTCCATCGCATGCCTAGGGAGCTATAGTGTTGTGCAAAGCGAACCTTGCACTTGTACCGTGGCAGAGGCGAGCGCCACGTGCCTCGGCGAGTCCATTTTCCTAGGCACAGCACGGGGCTCCATGAGTCAGTCAATGTGGAAAGAGACGGGGTGATTTTCTTACAGAAGCTGAGATCTTTTGGAGCAGCAGAGGCAGCACAACAACGAAGCAGCAACGGCTGAACGACCCTGCCACCACCATCACAAACAACGGCGATGATCTGCAGCTGCCTAACAACAACCGCAGCTGATTGTACAACACCAACAAGAACTGCAAGAACAACAAATGCAGCATGGACGGCAACCACAACAACCAGAAACAACAAACACCAAGCAGCAACTTTCACCGCAGCTGCAACTTCCACAATCGGCAACCACAACAACAGCAGCAGCGGCGGCGCAGCAACAACAAAAGCAACGAAACAACGACGACGACATCAGCAACAACAGCAACAACATCAACAACAACAACAACAACACCAACACCAACATCAGAAGCAACGACCACACAACAGCGACGACTGTAAATATCTACAGCAACCACAAGAACCACAACGACAACAACAACAGCAGCCACAGCCACAACAACAACAACAACAACAACAGCAGCAGCAGCAGCAGCAGCGGCAGCAGCGGCAGCAGCAGCAGCAGCAGCAGCAGCTACCGCAACCACAACAACAACGACAACAACACGCCTCCACCACCGCCGCAGCCACCAACCACCACGCAACAACCATAACATCTACAACAGCCACATCAGCAGCGCCGACAATAGCAAGACTGACAGCAGCAGCAGCAGCAGCAGCAGCAACAGCAGCAAAACGCTGACAACGACAAGAATACGACCGACAGCAGCAACAGCATCAAGCAGGAGCAGCAGCGACAACAACAATGACAACAACAGCAACACCGTCAACAACCACAACAGCAGCGGCAACAACAACAACCACGATGTCGACGACTGCTACTACTACTATTACGCCCACTACCATCGGTGCGCCCAGCAAATGTCCCGGGGTCACTCCGTTTAGGGTTTGAGGGTTTCGCAGCCACTCAGTCCTTTTAGGGTTTCGCGCTCACCCACTCCTTTCAGGGTTCGAGGGTTTCGCACCCACCCACTCCTTTTATAGGGTTTGGGGGTTTCGCAGCCACTCACTCCTTTTAGGGTTTGGGGGTTTCGCAGCCACCCACCCACTCCTTGGTTTCGCACCTACCCACTCCTTTTAGGGTTCAGGGTGTCGCACCCACCCAGGGGAGGTGTACGGGAAAAACGACCAAGCAAAAATGCAAACAGCGCGCACAGAGAAGCCTGGAGACAGTTGTCATTTCCAGATGCGAGTTGCTCGTCCGCGAAACTGGGGGGTCGATTGCCGTCCTCCGACCATGTGCCGAATGGCACGCGCCTACCAGCAAAACCAGGCCACGCCCGCTTCCGAATTCCAGGCAGGTGTGCGGGCAAACGGACAGTTTTGCACGCACTACTACTACTACTACTACTACTACTACTACTACTACTACTACTACTACTACTACTACTACGACTACGACTACGACTACGACTACGACTACTACTACTACTACTGCTACTGCTACTGCTCCTGCTCCTGCTCCTGCTCCTGCTCCTGCTCCTGCTCCTGCTCCTGCTCTGCTGCTGCTATAGCTAGTGCTAGTGCTAGTGCTACTGCTACTGCTACTGCTACTGCTACTGCTACTGCTACTGCTGCTGCTGCTACTGCTACTGCTGCTGCTGCTACTACTACTACTCCTGCCGCTCCTGCCGCTCCTGCCGCTACTACTACTACTACTACTACTACTACTACGACCCTTCGTACTGGGATGGCAGCGACAGCTACAGCGACATGGACAATCAACGACACCACCACCACCCGCCACCACCACCGCCACCACTGTTACCAGGCTGCTACCACTGCCACCACAGCCACCACCACCGCCAACAGCCACAGCAACAGTTAGCACCAGCAGCGGCACCAGCAGGAAAAGCAAGAGCGAGAGTCACAAGGACATAGCGAGAGGAAGACCGGGAGAAGCAGCCTTTTGCAGTTTTTTTCTAGCGCTTCTTGTAGCGCAGGCGTTGACTACAGTTTCAGCCAATGCCAAGTCCGCAACTTAATCTTGGCATCTCCCCTCCCCATGGCTTACTCTCTCTGCATGTGATGCCGAGTAGATGCGCCGACAGACCCCTTTTAACGCGATGTGAGTCTAAGCTAAGTCAAAGCATTCATTGGTGGGTTTCAGGCGGCCTGCTCACAGCGGGACAGCTGTGAGTTTTTTCGAGTAGGGATCGGCGACCGGCCTCGCGCTGAGTGCTGCGAGGGGTCTGTTTGCTTGCCAACACTTTGCGGGCTTCCCAGGTCTGGCGAGTGCATCCAGGTCGAAACCTCAAAAGCTGTGAGACTCACGAAACTTATTCACGAGCCTGCCGCGAAAGCATGTTGAGGCTACGGCTAGTGAGCTCGTACCTCCTTAACAAGAATTCCCATGGGGTCTGTTGCCGTGGTGACTATACTGAGGAATCTACCGGCGACGGCTCGATGCCTTGCCAGGCGGTGCTTCCGCATCCGTTGCCATGTCCGAACAGCTTTGACTGTCCTCTTAGTCTTGCAGAGCGGTCCCAACAAGAGGAGAGTCCGACCAAACGGTTCTCGTCCCGATTCCCGATGCTGCATGTTGCCAGGATTTCCTGCCCGACGATTCATTCAGTCCGACAGCCCGGAGACTGACAAGAGTTCTCCAAGCATGGATGCTGCTGCTTGTCGAGCCTTCACTGAGGTGTGTATCGAGTGACTCCCACAGGAAACTGCTTTCGCTTCCTTCTGACGGAGGCCCTACGTCTTTGGATGGTCGCAAGCTGGGGTGTCATACAAGGCTATAGACTATAGAAGCAACTCTAATTGCATCGGACTTCTTCGGGATCACAGAGGCCGCGGAATCTGCAGTGCCGCGAACCGCTGGCAGTGTTGCTGAACTGCTTCGCACCAAAGGCAGTGTCCTAGTCATAGGCCTGTTGCATGTAGTTCCATGTGCAGACACACCAAGTACTTGAAGAGGACCGAAACCCTTGACGCATCCTGAATCTTTGGCCAGGCCTTGGCTGAGTTCTCGAGGGTTTCTAGGCTGAACTCCGGTTCTGGAAATGGTGTTCGATGTCTTCGTTTCGCTACCATACACACAGAAGACCAGGTCACAGCATCCGGTTTGTGCTGGTGGCATTTCTACTTCGACCATTTAACCGGGACAGTACGTGAATGATATAATTATGAGAATTCAACATCGCAAATCTCTGTGAGATGCCCGAAGAACTAAGCTCGTTCTTGCAGTTCCCAAGAGATGGACACCCATCAGCCCGAAAGAAGACATGGTATCACGAGGACGGAGCTCAACGGAGCGATGTTGACTGCAGCCTCGAGCAGCGATCTGCTCTGGAGCTTGGTCAGGTTCCATGGCTCCGGTTGCTGGCATCGTCGCGCATCCAACTTGCAACTTCCATTTTACCTCTGCCGCCCCCTGCCCCCACCTATGAACTTGTAGACTGGAACACGGGAGGATGCCAAATCCATGTCAGAAAGCGCGAGAGGGAAGCAAGACAGGAATGCGCAAGTTTCGTTGCCAGGGGTTTGTCGGTGACCCTGACAGCGTCAGCACCGTGGCCGCAAGGGCCTGAGTGCAGTGCCCTGGTGTCTCGCAGGAACTGCTATATGAACCACCAGTCCACCACCAGCACATGATCGTGACATCGGCAACTGCGGAGGTCTTCGGCCTCCGAGTCGGGGCTCCGGCCATGGCCATCGAAAAGCTCTACGTCGCTGGAGCCACAGTGACACACACAACATTGCATTGCAGGAGTATTGCAGGCATGCGGTGCTCAGGCCACTCTGGCGGTGCGCAATCCCACGCAGGACATTTCGGGGGTTCGGCCGGCCGTTTGCAAATCTGCTCCGCCCGCAGACCCCCGAGCAGAGCGTGTGGACTTTGCAAAGCTTCTCCCAGACTTTGCTGATCTCCGAGGCACGCCTTTTCTGCCACATTTTCTGAGTTCGGGGGTGCTTTGCAGCTCAGCGTGCTTGTTGAAAAGTTAAGAGTGCACACCCCGAGATTCGTGAGAGTGTTGCTCCAGGCCCTCCTGGAGGATGGAAGTGCAGATGGCTTTGCTTTGCTCGCAGCTCTGGACCGCTTTTGCCTCGGTTCGGGGATGTTTGGGGTTCTGCTGCTCGGGCTACTATGAGAGAAGGCCGACCCTCTTGGCTGCGCAGGGTCTCGCAAAAGTCTAGCAGGATGCACATCCTCCTCCGGCACCCGGCCACATCCGCGACTTGCCAAGTGCTGCATGACAATGAATACGACAAGGTTTGGAGCTGCAAGTCCTCCCGGAAGCAGAGAAGCACAAGGCCTTGGCCAAAACCTTCATTATGCGATTTGCGGCAAGTGCGTGCATCGAGGGAGGCCCTTTGCGCTGGGCCGGTAAAGTGCATTCCTTTTTGCTGCTCATTTTTTCAGCGTTGCAACTCGACCCGCTGCGATGTCCTGAGGCGGGTGCTGAGGTCGAGCTGCGAGGACCCCGGTGAGTTCGTTGCTGTTTTCTCACTGCAGCAAAAGCAAACACCGGGCCTTTGCCACGGCATCACTTCACTGTGTCACTGTGGTATAGATTCGTAATGATTCGTACGAAGTTCAATGAGCAGTGAGCAGTCCCACCGAGAGGAATAGGCCTGCCCAAGGGAAAGAACGAGTGAGTTTGCTTGCTCCGCATGTGTTCATCTTCCTTGAATGAGGTCCTTCATTTGGGCCCCGAGCGAGCCTGTCATTCCTGCAAGTGATGCTGGGAGCCTGGTAGAAGTCACGATGGAGCTTCCCGGCAGAAGAAGTCTCGGCATTCTGTCAGGTCATTGAGGTACAATTGCCATCATGGCAGGTGGCTCAGAGCTTCCGCCCGCCCTGTGCGGGCACAGTGATTCCCACATAATCTATCTATCTGTCCATCTACATACCATCGAAATGCAAGACTAAATGACAGACTGACTGAATGAATGAATAAAGTGACAAGAATGAACGAGCGAATGATTGGATGAAGAGCTGCCATGCCGCAACGGCCACACGAAGGCACCCAAAGCTGGGATCAATCACCAGGGCAGCAGAAGTGAAACAGAAAGATGCCCGATGACCTTCACGGTGTACCACGTTGCGTTTAGTAGGCGAGAAATTACCCGACCCATGAAGGTGCAAGGACTGATAGTGGACCGATGCGGCTAATCAGGCACTCTGGTGTAAAAGGCTCAATTTCTACTTTTTCGCGCCGCATGCTCTGAAATAAGCCGCGCAAGTTCCCAATCATGCCCGCAACTGATTGCCTACCAGCGGCCACTGTGCAAAGCCCCTCATTCAGGCTGCAGGTGTCTGCTGCGGTTTGTAGCTCCCTTCGGACGCCAGCTGCCTAGCCGTTCCTGGCCTCTCGCCTCGGAGTGCGCCGGTACACCTGCGAACGTAGGAATGCGACTCGATGGTCTGCAAGGCCTCAATCGGCAGACTACACGCTAACTGCGTGCTCGCTCCCTGGGCATGCGCCTCAGCATGACTACACTATTCTGCATGTATGCTCGAATTAAATGATCGATTTCCTTCCGCCAATGCATGCTAGAGTCGAGAGGCCATCCACTCTGCAGTTCAGCATAACTGGCCCGGCAGAGGCTTTGGCTCAGGCATGTGCCAGCATCTGCAGACTTGTCTTGGAGGTTGATTGCGATCAAGATTTGTATAGGCGAGAGATTTCCAGAGCCATCCGTGCGGCGTGCATGTTTCTCGCAGCTTGCAGGCTGATAGACAGAATGGCTCTCATGATGAGATAAAGCACTGTTTCTCGTGGTTTGGCTGTTCGAAGAGTCCATGTCTGTTCATTCGAGTTGCTGGTCCATCCGCAGTTTTAGTTGGGATCTGTACAACGTGCATCTACCAGCATCCAGCATTTGGAATTGGAGCGAATAGACAAGGGCCCCCCCCCGCAATAGTCAAGGCCAGCCAGCACCTGCATGTGCGCCATGAAGATTGGCTTGTGCGGACAACGTTGATCGGGGCAAGACGAATCTGCCCAAGGCCGAGCACTTGTAGGGCAGCCATTGCGTGCCGGGCCGGAAGCTCCACTCTTGATTACAAGGGAGTACGCAGAAGCGATTCAGCCTGCAACGCATCTAACTCAAGCCTTTGCATCATCCCAATGTGTCAGACCGGAACAGCGGCAAAACGGATACTGACGTAACAATTAAGAGCCGCGGTTTGGATGACCTCAAGCTGGAGCCACTCGGCTGCTCACGGCCAGCTGTGCGGCCTTCATGCCTCCAAAACAACACGAGCAAACATGAATCTCTGATTTTCCGGTTGGCATGCAGCAGTTGAAGTGCTTGCCGTGAATGGCTGACACCAGGCCAGGCTCTTGACCCGAACCGTCAGGCGATGCTGAGCCACTGGGAGAGCTGGTATCGGCCGAAGGACTCCCAGTGACAGCGTAAATAGGACTTTTCCTCTTTGAGCCTCGAGGAGGCGCCTGCCATGGCCCTCGTTCTGGGCCTTGGCGCCTCGCTGTCTTTGGGGCTTTGCGCCTCGGCTGACTCACTTCTGCGCTTATACCACAGCCACACCAGACCTCTTAGCTTATGCCCTGGCATAGCCGCATAGCCGTTTAGAGCCAACAACCCATTGAGCAGCTGTGTCGCTGCGTGTGCATCCTCCCAGCGTCATTTCGTAAAAGTCACACTGGCACATCCCTGGCGCAACTATAGAGGTTCCGTGTTGATGCCGCCCCTCAGTGCGCTGAGCGTTCCTGGCGGCTTCGTCCGGGCCTTGGGCTGTGCTTTGTTTGAGGTGGAAAGGAGGGCCGCGGAGCACACTTGGCACCAGGCGACCAAGACCTTGATCGGCTTCTGTGGGCTCTCGGGATGCCTCGGCTTTTTGATGGCAGAGACAGCAGCTTCACTGCAGATTTGGGTGTTTGGACAGAAGCTCAGTTCGCTGTAGACCATCGTGAGTCAGGGTGCGCTGGCTAGGCTTTTTCTGTAATGGCAGGGAAAGTGGCTTCTGCACGGCTCTTTCAGCCGTTTCTTTCCCAGCTTTCAAGGGAAGGAGGGCACGCAGGTGCAGGCCACACGGTTCAGAAAAATCAGGGCAGAGGGCAAGACGAAGACTGAAAGCACACCAAGAAGACTCTCGACTGTTTCACGTCCGCCCATAGTTGCTTGGTTCCTGGGCAACTGACGCCGAGGTCATCCTGCGGAGTGCGGAAGAGCTTTCCTGCCAAAGCCGCTATCAATTCAATGCAATCCGGACAAAACTTAACAACACCTTTGTTGCTTGTGGCACAAAATCGCAGATGCTCTCTTCTCAAAGCAGTTGCGAGTCCAGGCTTCAGACTGTGCGAGGATTGCACTCCACGGTGCGGGGTGCTCCCTGTTCAGACTCATCTGCCCAGGCTATCACACTTCAAGTCTTCGGCGCGCTCACTTTGCTGCCAGTTTCTTGGCATGTGGCGGCACAACATTACCTGGAAGCATGGCTGAAATTACTGTACTGCTTCCTGTTGGGAAATCGCAGTTCCTCACCCGTCGCCTTAGAGATTCTCATTCTGCTCGCATCTCACATGTCCAGCCCGGCGGCTCGGCGGCTCGGCGGCCAGGCCAAGCTGGCAGTCCTTGCCGCCAACATGTGGCTGATGCGATCTGCGCGCTGCCTGATGCTGGACCGCCTGAAGTCACCAGGGCAGGGAGTCGTCTAGTACCACCCTGCAGTGTAACAGTGATGCCGGTTGGGCAAGTGTTTGGCACAGTATGTGCAGGAGGTTGACAAGCAGAGCAAGATCTTCGTCCGATGCTGGGGCAAGCATCGGGGACAGAGGACCGAAGAAATGAGCTGTGTGGATCGAAGCTTGGCTGAGAGAACTGTACTATGTCGTCGCTCGTCGCTCTTCGAGCCTTTGGCGTCTCATCTGTGGACATTGCCTAGTCACATCGCGCAGACCCATGCAGCAGTGTCCGAGGTCTTGACGACGGAAAGCTATCACGACACATACCGAACAACCCAAGCTCTCCCCAGCCAAGCCCGAATTAGGCAGGCGCAATTGCGCCTTCGCTTGCTGCTTACTTCTCTTGCAGCAGAAACTGTGACAGAGGGCACGGGAACCGACAGCCCGAGCCCTGCAATTGATCGAGAGAACCAGTTTGTTATCGAATCATGGTTTGCTATCTGAACAGCCGAGTCCCCTCGTAATGGCTCTTTTTTCGGAGAGGAGGCACTGGGGTGTCAGAACTTGACGATGCAAGTCTGCTGTAAGGATACTCGGCATTCCTGACTGGTGGCAATGCGGCCAGCAACGCAGTTGTTGCCAAGACGGGCAGCCAATCCTTCGCGATGTTCTCTGCAGTGTGGTTTGTGCAGCTTTGCTACGACATGCTGCAATGTTTGCTGTGGGTCCCTGTGTATCAAATCACTGGACGGAGCCAGCCTAACTGATTGTGCAACGAGATCTGTATTTGTCTGAGGATGACAGCCTGCAGCTTCTCACCTCTGCAAGTCTGAGTGGATCGCAGCATTGTGAGGGCCTGCATGGTGGCTTCAAGTTGTCGATTCAGCTGCTGCATTAATGCCCCCGAGCGGGATCAGATGCGCAAGCAAGGCAGATGAAGGTTGAGTTGCCTGCTGGACCGGCACGGTGCAGTGCTAGCTCAGCGCTTGCTTGCTGCGTGCAAAATCGAAACTGACGACACCTGTATCGGCGCATCATGCACCATGCCGCGTGCTTACGTTTGCAAGACTGTACTCCGATCTGCCCAGAGCCAGGGCTCTCGGCTTGACTTCCTCCTCGTGGCCACGAATCCTGACGCAGCGGCTGTGGCCGCTGCTCCTCGGGGTTCGACGACGCACCATGGCAGTAAAGAAGACGTTTGGTGTAGCGTTTCCCGATACATCCTCTATATATCACTATGGGGCCCAGTTTGAGGACAAGGTCAGCTTCCAGGCATATTCCTGGGCATAGATAAGGCAAGTGATCCTGATGCGGCTTGACAGTGCATGGCTTCCCACTTGGCGTCTCCTCAACGCGAACGCAAACTGCGTACTGTATACTACAATGTAATTATGTATGCATGTCTGTAAGCAGCAAAGTCACACCTTGCCGTCGATGTAAATACCCAGTGAGATGGTGCCACAGACTTTCTGGTGCATTGTGCCTGTGGCTTTGCCTGCGAACGAAAGCTGAGATTGGTGCAGCTGCCGCGTGCTGAGCTTGATTTGCAACGGTATCCTACAGCTGGAAGTTCGCAGAACGTGATGATCCCAACCCTTGAGATTCAATACGGTTATCATCGGACGAGGTCTCATTTGCGGCCGGTCACGTCTGCAGTTACCGGCGAAACTTTGCTATCAGCGGCCGACTTGGTTGACGAGCATGAGATGCAAGACCTTCGTTTCATGGATTCAGACACCAAGGTCATATCCTCCTCGGGGTCGGAGGCATCATTTGGACACGTGAGCATTCCTTGGGAAGTACTTCCGGTCTGCAAGATGCCTCAGGAGCCTAAAGGACAGCAGTTGACGTATGTTGACGTGTCAGATGCTGCGAGAGTCTGGTGGAGCTGCCGCTCGGACATACAACTTTTTCGGAGGCTCATGCAGTGCAGCTGGCAATGCCGTTCCTACGCCTGGAGCTCGGGAGATGTTTGATTGCAGGTGGATAGTTACTGCCCAAAAGAAGACAGTCTTCAAGCCACTCATTAACACTGGTCGCACAATGCATTTCGCATGGATTCCCTGGTGCGCAACTCTCCAAGCGTCTCGAAGCCCGATGTTGCGTGGCCAGGCGGGACGAAACCTGTTGCTGATTGGTGTCCCGTGTCGACCAAGGCATGCAACAAAGCCTGCCTCAGTTCGCGGTGGCAGGACACTTCCCGACGACACTGGAGGTGCTCGGCCCAGTTGGCGCACATGTCTACATCAGAACTCATGTCAGTAGCCCCTGGGCGGAGCAGCCGCTCAGTTCAACACCAGACTGTGCCAAACCGGCCGTCGCAGGTCACATTCCAAGTGGCAACTCCAGGCGCCGATCAGGTGCGGCAGGGCTAAACTGGCGATCGATGATCAGCTGCAATGCTTGACAAGACTAGCCTTGAGCCCTGCATCAAGTAATTTAGTAGCAGATTTCAAAGGAGGTCAAAAACTTGTCTGTTACAGCCCCAGGTTTGGATCGATACGTTGTCTGGGGGCAGCCCCATGGATTTTGCAAGCGTGCAATGTACCATGGCTGTCGACGGAGAAGGAGATTGCAAGATAGTTATGACTTCGTGGCGTGTGGGTATGGCGCTGGTAGCCGGACTGCTTCTCGCATGCCTGTCTTCTGGAATCGCAGGAGCAGATGCAGGTACTTCCCCCGGGTTTGGAGCTGAGATGAGACCACCATCAGTGCGGAAGGAGATGATTGTTGACAGGGACGATGGCGGAGATCAAGGTGGTGGTGCTGATGACGACAATGATGATGGCTGGAAAGCCGTTAATTGGTGCACTACTTTGCGGACCGTCGTGTGGGCCGCCGTAAGAGACTGCACACCTGAAAAGCCTGCAAACAAAAGGGCATCTACTGCAACGGGCGACTCTCACAGTTGCTCATTACAGCAACCGGTGTGCGACATTTTTGGTCGGCCGTCCATGTCAAGTCGTAGTTGTGCTAACAGACAGGAAGTTTGGTATTGTAGTATTTTGTTCTACGACATGGTTTATATATACATCGAAGTGCTTTGTTTGGACAGAGGTTGAGTGATGTAGGTGTATGGACTTTGTGTATTTGCATGTATACACACATATGCGAGTGTACAGTGTACAGCGTACATAGACACATATGCATATACAAACCTGTGTATATATATATATGTATATATATATATATAATATGTATATGTATATGTATATGCATCGAAATTTCCTGCATGCACTGTCACCGTCCGAGGTTGTTTGGCCAGATTTCTTGTTTCCCTGGAGGGTACTTGGACTCAGTGCGGAGCAGTTGCTTCACGACCGAAGTGCAGAATGCCCGTAGGACTCCTGCTTTTGTGTAGCATGTCTCGCATCCAATCGCGTCAAAGCAACAACTGATCGGAATTTGCACGGCTTCGCTAACCGGCAACGTCAGGCAGCAGTCTTATTCAAGCACGGAATGTGAGTACCTGCTGGAACATTTCCCGCCAGGCAGATCGAAACTGAGATAAGTGACAACCTTGTCACCCAGCAGGGCTCCCAAGCGATTCAAGCGAGTGTTGAGGGTGATTAGTAGCTTCTCGCAATGACTTCATACGCAGATTTTGCTGTTTTGTCATGGTTGATTAGAGTGGAAACATCCATCCCAGGCAAGCCCAACTCCGTGCAGAATTCGTGTCGACCTTCCTGCCGAATCAGCGCTACACACTGAAGCTGGAACTTGCTCCTCAGCTGGTCCCAGTTGTAGCGTGCATGTTCGTGCGAAGCTGGGGGTCGTGACAGTCAGGCTAACCTTGGGGGTAATTATTCCGACTTGATCCGACTTGCAGACCGGTGCAGTCTGCGCGCCCTTTCGGGAGGAGTTCAGTGCGCATCCTTCTGCGTGGAACACCTCGGCGATGCAGTCATCGCGATGATGATGATGATGATGATGATGATGATGATTTTGATACCCAGCATGAACCCTTACCAAAAAAGAAAATCGCGGAGCAGCCCCAGCACGGTCCCGACGGGTCCAGTGCGCATCCTTTTCCGTAGAAAGGGCCCGCTGCCGAAAAGTGGAAAGGGATGCGCACTCGACCGTAAAGTGGCTGCGCACTGGACCCCCCCCCTACCGTGGCCAGCAGTTTTCCAAGTATGCAGTAGTTTTGACATTGGTGTCTCGTCCAATAATTATTGTGGCTAAAAGATTATAGCTTCAGAGGCTTTGTTTGTATGTGCACAATACCGCCACGTCTCATATCGTGCTTTCAAGACATACTGTTAATCCAGCGACTCCGTACAGACCGACCTTAGCAACAAATCATTGAAGCATGCCCGAACCTTGTGGGGTGTATTTTTTTCTGCCCACGACATCTTACACAGCGATTCAGACGCAGACTGTATCTTGTAAGTCTTGTCTGTCCATGTCACAGCTTCGAGGTGCGCATGGGTTTCCTGGCTGGCCCGGTGATCGCGGCCGTGCTCTTCTTACTTGACATCTTGGGTTGCTCCCCTCTCCATGTCATCTCGCAATGTGCCATGTGTGAACACAGAATAAGCTCCTCCCGATCGTAGGTGGCCACCAGCACTGCCAGCAGCAGCGCAGACGCATCGGACTTTTCGCAGGCACCTCACATGTACAAGTTGCAGCAACACTGAATCGGTTGAAGCTTTGTCCTCGACCGATTGATTGGTTGAATAGCAGAAATGCATGCAACAGTACTCTTCTTTTTTCCGCTGGAGCTCTTCCGCCCTTTGTCGCTGCGCTTCATAATCATCGCCGATCTGTCGTTTTCTCGATCTGTCCCTCTGTTCTCCTGTCTTACACACACTGGCACGCACCCGCAGATGCAGACAGGCCTTCCTGTTGGACCGAAGCTCGCTCGAGGACCAAGGATTCGACGTGTATGCGTCGCACTGTGCGTGCCTCTTCTTTACAAGCTTCAGCTGTTCAACCGTCGTGGAGGTGAGGGCATGGCTGAATGTCACATGCTTGCCTTGCCTTTGCATTGTTGATGCGCTTGTGGGTTTCTTCAGGAGACGAGCAGCTTTACTTGGCCGGACAATTGGTTCTCCAAGCGCCTGGCTCCGGGTCTTTCGTTTCTCTGCCGGGGTCCCAGGCACCAGAACTGGAGAGGGAACCCTTCGTCAGAAGGCAGTTGCAAGTCTCTTGATGGGCATTTAGTTCGTCGACAGTTCCGGCACAGGTTTGGTTTCTGAGATCCGGTCGAGAAGCCCGCAAGGAAGCTGTGTCTGAACGGTCATAATAACATTTCCTGACTCGCATATGTCCGAAAGAATCGAGCTTTTTTGTGTGTTGCGTTTTGCCTGACATGCTTGTCCTTCCCAGAGGTCAGCGAATGCAGAGTTTGGGACAAGCTTGTTCTTGGCCGTGCCTTGGAAATGAAAATGCAGTCAGCATTACTGAGAATGAGCTGATTAAAGCTTGAAGCTGGGATACTTTCAGGCCGACAGGGTCCACTACCTGACCCTAGGCTTTGCCTTGCAGGCCACCTGTCAGTAGCTTTCGGTGCACTTGCAGGTGTTTGGCTGAAAGCATCGAAGGTGACGCCATGTAGAGTTCACTCAAGATCGTGGAACCTCGCAGCCATGAGTTCTCGGGTTTGAAGCACGGCTGCCTTGTATACGGGTAGTGGGGATTGTATTGCCAGGCTGCCTTGCCGAAGGGTGGCCGGCTTGTGTTGTACCCGGCTGCTGGCATTGGCATGGTCGCCGACGTGGCCTCACACCCAGTCAAGCGTTCCGGTGGCGCAGATCTGCCTCCCCTTTGCTTGCGGCATGCTCTGCTGATGAAATTGGCAGCGCTTCTCGGGTTTTTGCGTTCGATGTTGGCCATGGCATTCGGAGAGGTACTCGGACTGGCGGCGACAAATGTTCGGCACTTAGAAAAACCTGGCAATCGACGGGCTCAGCTGTAAGCTGACTGTGCCATCTGTCCCTTGCTAGATTCTAGATGTTTGGCGGTTCTGGTTGCCGGTAGCCAAGGTGCCAATGTCTACTGCATTGAAGGACATTGGAGGTGGGCTGCCTTTTCAGCAGATCTGGGTAGGTTGATGCTGGTTTCCCTTCTTCACAGTTTCTCCCTGTACAGCTCATTCATTGTTCCCCATGTGGGTTAGGGCCGGTTAGGGATTTGGTTGCTGTTCTTGCGAAAGGCGCCCCAAAGCCACGTTTTTTTCCTTAGTCAGGCGACTCGGGGCCGTTCCACCAGGGAACCGGACGGGCGAAATCCAATATTTTGGCACGATCCAGCTTGATGAATCTCGCCGTGGGTCGTTTGCATTTTTGGGGGGTGTTGGGGCCCTGTAGCACTGTAGGAGTGGAAGTCATTCTTGTGGCATTGATTTGACTTCTGAGTACAGCCCCTGCAGGCCCACACTAACGGCTTTTAGCGTGGTCCCGAAATCCCACCGCATGTTGCGAAGTGGCTCATGCGTATGTGGTGCCTGAACTGTTAGATGTTCCACTGATTGGGGTCCGAGGCTGGCATAAAGATGGTTAGCCAATGGTGTTTGAACATGGCAGGTGCGGATGATGTCTTTCAAAACAGCCAGAGGTGGGATCCGATGCCTCTTCAAGTGCACAGCAGCATAAGAGTTCTGCAGAATGCGGTTACCCGCTGCAGTCAGAACCCAACTCCGCCAGACAAGTGTCTCATTTTTCTCGAAGCCCCGCGCAGTCAGTCTTGAACCTCTGAATCTGATGAACCGGTCCCGCCTGAAACGGAATTGGTTGTCTGGCAGTTGTCAACGAGACTCTCTCATGTGCCCGGACGTTTTTCCACTGCTGACTCGGTGGAATCTCACGTGATCGGTAGGCTTAGCTTGCCATCTCCCAGCTACACAGCCCGCCTGGACGTGGTGTTCCAGGCAGGTTGCTGACCCTCAAAGATTGGATACCTGCGACTTCAGCTCGTGCATGCTGCAATGTGGGCCGGAGTGATGTGGAGATTGTTCTTGGAAAGGCGTCCGGGGAAGCGAACGAGCGTGGACCTCGCCATATCTTCCCCTGTCCAGTCATGCTTGTGAGCTTCAATGGGGTAGGTCCTTTTAACTAACGTCTGTCGTCAAGAGCTGTAGTTATGCGAGAGCGCCAAGGTCGTTGATCGCCTTGCCAGCGGAGCAGCCTCTATCGCATCTTGTCTATAGGAGGCGGCAAGGTCATTCTCTCGCCGCACGCGCTGGCGAATCATAAGAGACTCAGGATTCAGCTCAGAGTCCAGATCCGGTCAGATCCTCAGCGCTGCAAAGCAAGGCCTTCTTCGCCCCAGTCGAAGCGAGCAGGGGTTGCGCAGCACCAGTATGACCCAGAAGCGATGGCGTGATTTCACCGAGGTCTGTTGCTGCAGGCAGCGGATGGCTGTTGCTGACCACGCTACGAGAGGTGCCCCGAAGTGACCTACCGCTTTGTGGAAGGTGTAGGTATGCGAAGGCGGAAGACAGCAGCCAGGACTGGTCGGTGGACAGGCAGAGCGTCACCAACACCAACCTTGAGGAGAGCCCGATCCTGCAGCATCCAAGCTTGCAGTAGGGTGAGTCAGATCTGCTTTGTCTACTTTCCACCGGCTCCTGCCGTCCTGCAAGAGTTCTAGCACGAAAAACGCAATCAGCAACCTTACATCGTTAGGGATCGGCTTGCCTACGAGACAAAGCCAAGATCGAAGCAAGTTGCCGGTTCCGCGTGCCTGAAGGTGTTATGGGAGAACACGCTAATCGCGCCAGCTCGACTCAAGCTCTGCAGTGTCGCCCCATTCTGAAAGCCTACAAGGCAAGAACGACCATGTACCGTAGCAGAGCATGGCAACATCTTGAGCGCACAAAGGCTTCCAGAGCCCCAATGTATACATGAAATGATGGTCATGATCATTAACATCACTATCGCCAGCACAAGTGTCGCGCTGTTGGTCTTGTTTTGGCGAATGTTGAGCGTGCAAGGGTCTCAAGTTGGGTGGGCCAGGTGACATGCTGCAGCATTTGCGTTTGCATCAGATCATGAGCTAGGTCTTTCCGGCCCGCAGGGGCACCACAAAGACAGTGGCAAGCCACAGCCCAGTTACACAGCAATGCTCCAGCTGAGACCACCTCAACGATATCAGAGCGCATAAGTCCTCGAGCCACTGCCGCGCTGGGCAGCATGGGATCATGAGAGCAATCGCGCTGATTGTTCTTTGGCAGACCTCTCGGATTCTGAGCTCAGCATGGCTTACCGACGTCTCTCGCTGATGATTAAGAAGTGATTGTGGTGTGTTTTTTGGAGGAGTTTACAGGCAATTTCTCGTGCACAGCGATTTAAGGAGAATTGGCAGGAAGAGACTGCTGGGAAGGTTGTGTTGGCCAGATTTGGGCACTTTGGCCAGATCGCAGATGGAGCAACCAGCATCGGAGAATTGTCTTTTATGGTGTCGGAAGCACGGCTTGGGGTTGTGTATGCTTCCAGACAGCATGTTCTGTTTGGTTCAGGTCCGCTTGTCATTGCACTGATGACACTCCTGTGGATTGGACAGCCCTGATCCTACAGTATTCAGGCTACTGCCGGACGCCTGCTGGGATGCCGGCAAATTGTCCTGTCATTGAATCATTGAGTCATTGCTGCAGTGTATCTTGAAGTTTGAGAAACACGAGTGGCATTAGGGCCTGTGCATCCTCAGTCTAATGGGAGGCCACTCGCGATTGCTCGTTGCGGACGTGAACTGTCGGCTTGCTCGCGACATCTGTGGCCTGCTGAATGTGACTAGCTTCCCAGCGATCATGTGACATAGCTTGCATTTGGAGTTTGCCTAACCGAGCCCTTGTCCTTGCATACCGGCGTAGCATCTTGAACTCGTCAGACAAAAGTCCCTTGGCTGAAGGTATGGCAGTGCTTACGGCTTGCGGCAGTATGATGGCTCAGTCTCTGAGCTGTCCGACTTTGCCCAGGCCAGGCTACTGTTCAGAAGTGGCTTAAGGCTTAAGGCCATTCGCAGCTTCTCTGTATCTTTGACTGTGACATCAGCCGAAGCCACCCAAGATCTGCGACCCAGGTCTTGAGTGCCACCTGCTCACCTGAGCGACCCGACCTTTGTGCCACGGACCTGCAGAGACGGCTGCACGAGTTGGCGGGATCGAGCTTAGAGGCATCGCAATGCGGTGTTGTTGGTTTGATCTGCGGAGTTGTTTTGCGGAACCTTCGGCGGGCTGCAAGCTTTTGCAAAGGGTGCTTTGCCAGGGCCTTCCCGATATTCTTCATAATTTAGTTCAGAGCGAGGTTTAATTAGCCCAAATGACAAATCCAGCAACAGCTTGGCATTGCGCCGTGTTCCCAAAGCTGCGCGATTTTGATTTGCTGCTACATGCTGCTACCGAATCCTGGAGTACAAACTGCTGGCTACCTACTGAGCCAGAAGCCCATCCTCTAACAGAGCGTGCCGTCGCTGCATCAGGAGATGATTCTCTGGGCGGGGGTGCTCTGGCTTTGCCTATCCCCTGTGCAGGGTGGTTTGCTTGGCTTAGTTTTCTTATCGAGGCTCCTTGATGGAGGGGGCTCCCTGTTTTTGGGCCGACCCGAAACCCACATAACAAGATGGGCAGACTCTGGAAGTATGTCGTGTGATTCCCTCGGCTTCAGCCCAATCCTGGACCCAAAGATCAGAAAAGCAAAAGACCGGAAGTGCAGTTCTCTTTCTGCGGTGCCCCTGTCAAGATGCTGCGCAGAGCCGCTGAACCCAAAACGATGTTTTGTGTTCGCACTACTGCTTGCAGAAGTGTGGCATTTGGGCCACGAGAGAATCTTTCCTTACGCGGAGTTTTCTCAAGCAGTGCCCCTGCTGCCGAGTTGTGTTGCAGCCAGGATTTGGATTCACAGCTCGAAAACAGCAAGGGGAAGCAGGATGCCGTCACCAACGAACCTTGTAACACATCATCGGCTGCACACATTGATGCCACCATATACGTTGCCTCCCTTCTGCCAAATGCAGAAGTGTTTGTATCGTGCAGACGCTAGCAAGCTAAGGAGCTGCGCTCCGCTATGGCCAAGCTTCAGGATCCGACCAACTTTGTCTCTGTCTCTGCGTGCCAAAGCCCTTGCATGCGAGTCCTTGGCAGTTAAGTTCAGAGACTTGAGCGCACAGGCCGATTTCGAGTCCGCACACGCAGATCTGTCTCCGACGGAGCTGCCATCTCTGATACTTGGAAGGAATTTCTAGGCATGTATTGCAACCTTCATCTCAGAAAGCGATCGCCCGCCCAGCCCCCACTCGAAGACCTGGGTTTTGTCATGTCCGCCCTTTGAAGCTCCGATCTGTGGGGTACTTCCAGCGAGCAACCTAATAGATGACGACAGCGACTGGCAGAACACTTTGAACACGAGGAATGGTGCCAGTAGCTGGTGACTGCCTTGACTGTGCATTGGCATGTATGCAACGGAAGTCGTTTGCACGCCATCTTTGCCACGAGTACGAAGGTTGGAAAAGCTGAGAAGCCAGTACATCGCACTTGAGGCCTCGTCAATGTCTCATGAGTACGCTTTGTTCAAAGCTCGATCTGCTTGGTCAGGCAGAGTTTGCCTCCCGGCAAGCCGCCGCTGCAGAGGAAAGGCTGATGATGCAAAAGGCCGCTCGGACAGAAATACCAGGCAGGACTTGCCCGAAAATCCTTGATCATCATTTTCGCCGTGGTTTCCACAACAACACTGGCCACTTGTATGATTTTGGACAGGTCAGGCCATCAGAAAGCGTCACCCTCAGGGCCCCATTTTATGGGGTTCGGGTTCGTGTAAGACGTATTTTTTAGGCTTCTAACAAAGCGCACCCAGTCCTGGATGGAATCATTCTGATCGTATTCGGAACACGAACAAATAGGCCTAATCTAGACGTGAGTATAGTTTGATCTAGGCCATTGTGCGAGGTTGGGGGAGTATGTTTGCACTGATCTTTTCTCGAGCCCGCTCTTGCATTTGCATGCCGTAAGGTTCGCCACATGCGACGGCCGGGAGTGACGCCTCTGCCAAGACAAGAGCTATGACGAGCAAAAGAAATGGGGTGCATCCAAATACATCCAACACGTCGCCGTCACAGCCAGGCAAAAAAGCTCTAACGCAATCTGCTGCACAGCTGATCCTGCGGCGCTTGCAGGAATGGCCTGGCGGTCCGCTGCCGGTGGTGCCATCTTTCGATCCTCGGAGTACTCTCGCACCGGCGCTCAGCATGACCAAAGGAAAAAGTAACCTTGTAGACTGAGCTTCTGGTGCAGCTCGCGAAAAATCACTGCAGCACGTGGCGGACTGCAAACTGACGACAGAGGAAATCGACACAGACTCGACCCTGAGGTTTCAGCATCCAGCACAAGGCGTTCTGCGGAGCTCTCAAAATCTTTTCGCGAGTCGGGCCACAGGAAACAGTCGGGAGGGCAACACTGAAGGTGATCCCGCTCCAACGCACCACATAACGCGCCGTCCAGCATCGCTATAGATGGGGGTGCCAAGTTTTGAAGTGCCAAGGCCCTGATCCAGGTTACCTTTCGAGTCACGCCAGTCCTCGATATTCCTGCTGGCAGCCACTGGTAAGCAAGTTGGCAGTTTGTGAACGCCGAGCTGTCCAGCCTCTGCTGCTTAAGATGTTGTGCCGCCAAAGGCTTCCTGCGCGTACGAGCTCCCAGTGGATTTGTTTGGGCCGCTGACTGTGTCGAGGGCTCTGGCCCGGGAGGTCTTGTTGAGCCAGGTGGGGTTCTCCAAGCCTTGTGCTGCGCTTCCTTCTCGTGCACTGCTCGTTTTTCTGCGCTGCCATTCTAACTCTGGTCGGTGGTGGTAAAGTAAAGAACTGACGTGCTATTTCGCATGATGAGCCTCACAACCCGTGCGCCATACAGCCATGCACTGCTGCCAGGACAATGCTGGCGCGACTCATCGCAACCCTCAGCTACTCTCCTGGAATTGCACAGTGTGCCAGCCCAAGCTCGACTGAGGTGGACACGATACATCGAAGGATGTCGAAGAGTAATAGCTTGTTGTTCGTATAAGGAAGCAACGGAGTCAGGGAAGCGTACATGCAGTTTTGTTTGGGTGCTGCTGTGTCAGTTTCACAGCCAGCTGCAGGCTATGCAGGCAAAAGCTTCGTACGAGCTTCTTATGCCCGGGCCCCATGACAAACCTTCACGGGCCAGTCCATCTGACCCGAACATGGCCAGGGAGACCTGTGCTTGACCAGGCAGGTGCTCACACCAGCAATGCTGCAGCCGCCCAACCGCTGGGAACTGGCAGCTCTGTCTCTGGTCACGCCAGGAACGGGCAGAGAAACTGCCCACTGTCTTAGTGGAATCCTGTGTTCGGGCAGCCAGGGCCAGCACCAATCACCACCACATCCACTATACCTCCTGGCCTAGTCCGGATCTCGAATCTTGGTGCTTCCAGCTGGTCAGCCTGGCCGAGCAGATGAGAAAGGGGGCCCGGATACTTAGGTTGGAAGCCCGTCGGCGGTTAACCTCAGCGCCGAAGTCGCACGCCCGGCAAGAAGTTGTCAGAGGAACTCTCCGGTAAGACGGTCGCCTAGCAGAAGTGGAGCAATCCAGGACCGAGGGGGTCGACTTCGGCACCGCTTTGTAAGAGGATAGTAGAATTGGAAGGGTGTCGGCTCTCGCCCGATGACGCCTGTTGTGCTCCTTGCCTTCAGTTGTTTTGTTTGGCCAGGTGCGTGACCCTCGTGAGCGGCACGCTGATGTGGTGCCTCAGCAGGCCGAGAATCATCTCGCTTGCACAGACCAGCCATCTCATGTCGTCAAAACTTCCATTGTCTTGTCATGCCAATGACTGCTAATGTCGAATGCGGAGCATGTTCTCACTGTCCGGTCCATGGCATCGCTCGTCGGAGCTGCGGAGCTGAGAAGTACGGCACTCTCGGCCCAAGTTCCCATGCTGGTGCCAACCAGCACTCTGTACAACCTCCTGCACAGAAGTCTTTATGCAAAGCTCTCTGCTCCCGCGGAGGTTATCCGCTTGACAGGCTTCCAACTGTCAGGCCTCGAGGCCGGGGAGCTGTTTCTGCAGGTAGCTGCGGTCTGCCGTGCGGGGAAAGGCGCGGTTGCAACCGCTTCGGAAGCCGGGAGAGAACGGCCAGCTGATGTTGCGGTCTGAGAGTCTGAGTTGAAGCGTCTCCCCTTTGGACGCTTTCGCAAGAAGCGACCGAGGCTCCTCTCCTTTCGCCTGGCCCTCGTGCTCGACGAGCTTCGCCTGGCAACTCTTCCATTGCCTGCTGGCTGAAGCAGGGACCTGTTACCTGTTGGCTTCTGCTGAGGCTGTTCGAGGTCGAAAACTGGGTGGAGATTCTTGAAGTTGGAGTTTCGCGATTGGCAGTGTGCACTGAGGCCTCTTGTCCTCTCCGCACCCCAGGGCGTGACCGTCAGCTGCGCATGGAGCGAGCAGGGCCAAGGAGGCAGCTTGGCATCGAGTTTTGCACTTGCCTCCCGGCTCAAGCGGTCGTTAGTTAATGGGGGTTCTGGGTAGAGCCAGGCATGCCGGCCCTTCTTAGTTAATCGGATACTGCCCCATTGCGAAGTCGTGTCCCATGAAGCATCTTGTAACCTTGGTGCCGGCTGGCATCCGACGAGGCGGCGCGCTCATTTACCCAAACATCTCGGTGTCTTGGAGGCTCTTGGCCACTCAGCAGAGGCCAGGTCATGAGGGCGGAGGAATCATGATCATGGGCAAGAGTTCGTGGCGTGTGTGACGTGACTTTTCATGCTCCACAACCACGAACCAATGGTCAATATAGTTCATGCTCCACAGACCACCGTGCAGCAGCTCCACTGCATCAGTGGATTGGCTGTCACAGATGCCCACAACAGTGCAATGGCTGTGGCCCTCGTCGATGTTTAATTCTGCTACAACGTGGATTCGCTGAAAAGGTTTTTCTAATGAATATCAGAACAGCTTCAAATTCATTTCCGGCAGACTTGGCCGTCGTTTCCGCGGCTGTTGCACGTAGGTCGGCGCTGCTTAGCCGCTGCACCCCACAAGGCAGGCATTTAGTCCATCGCAATGCAGGAAAAAGCGGCGAACCCCCAAGATTTGGGGGTTTTGCTTGACTGTAGTATAGACTGCAGTAGCATGGCGGCTGCTTAACCCAACCTCTGGCAGGAGCGAAAGCTGGAACCGACGAGCTAAGCTGACAAAGTCGTCTCGGAGCTTCTAGGAACACCTTATCATCTTGACGTGCAGATGCCTCTGGGGATTCATCCCTGCTTTTGGAGCTCCAAGCGCCGCCATCTTCCGGCAGCGAGGTGGGCAGATTGTGTGGAAGGCATGAGTCTCCGGAGTGTCGCCTGCGGTGTGCCCTTATGCCTCAGTCGTCCATGTCAAGTGTCAACTGCCACAGAGACTGTCCCGAGTTTTCGCACTCTGCAAGGCTCCGGGCGAATGGCTGGCCTTGCCGATACTTGTGGCGTCGGCAGAGGAGGTACTGCGCAATTCTGTACGTGTTACTATCATTCTACGGCTACGACATGCTGTTGATTTTTTATTGCCAGGCGCGTGCTCCCCTCTATTGAACACTGCATTGTAATTCTCTGTGAGTAAGCTGTCAGTGCAATGGTGAGTACGGTGCTGTTGCCGAGTTTACTGTACGCGCCAAAGTTGTGTTCTGAAAGAAGACTCCGACCCACGGATGTCACCGTCTAACAGGAGACCTTTGCCTCGGAGCAAACTTGGAGACTGCGTGTGGGCGACAGCCTCGCCGAGGCCATGGAGACTGTGAAACAGGAGGAACCTGCTGCGCCTTTCTGTACAGGGAACATCTTAGGAAAGGACACACAAAATGAGCGCAAACCGCAAGTCCCAGGTGCGAACGTTGCGCACATCACCGCGGAGGCCTGGTGATGAGCTGAAGGGCACGCTGAAACAGGAATCGCAACAAAAGACTTTGGAAAACTTCTGACGATGTCACCTGCCTCGCAGTCAGATTCAAGACCCTGCCTGGGCAGACTGTTGCTCAGGATAGCTAGAGCCATGAGTTTCACCACCAGCGGATCTATGGATGGCTTTCTGTCTATGACGTTCCTGGTCACCATGTGCGTGGTTTATGTCGATGCTACGATTCGGCTGGGCAGGCCGGACGTGCGAAGAGCTTGGCAGTTTGCGACCCGACTGCATCACTTCTATAATATAATGATTTGCCAGTACATATTACACTTATAGAGTAGCCGTGGCATCATGGTTTCGCTACTTATGACATGCAGCCGCAGAGGTATGGAGTCCGATGGCTGACAGCGAGGCACAGTCTCTGATGCAAGACACAACAGTCCGTGAGAAGAAGGGCAGACAGATCAACTCTGAGTTGTTCGAGATGTGGAAATCATGGGCGACTAGTCAGGACGAGCTACGATAAACACGTGAAATCAGGTGAACTGCAGTCACAGATAGTCACAGTCTCTTTGCCACAGACGCCTTGCTTACGTTGGCCTTGTTCTCACACCTGAGGTTGGCGTTTTTATCGTGGTGTCTGAAGGGTATGCAGCATTCTACATAGTTCAGAGCCTTGTTTGTCATCGACCGGACCAGCCGAGCCCCTGGCGAGATTGCCATCTTGCTGCCTTGCTCACCTATTTGTTCGTTCTCAGCTGGGCCTATAATCGAGAAGCGCCGACAAGTCCTCGCCAGTCCTGGTTCTGTTCACTGAGTTTCAGCGTGCTCCCGTTGCTGAGCAGAGTGGATTTGCCAAAGCAGCTGCTGCCAGCACAGCAACTGGGAGCTTTGGCCATGGGCTTCTGTTCACCAGATCCCAAATTGGCAATAAGATTGCGGATGGTAGTGGTGCCTGCAAGCCTTCTGATGGAACTCTTCTTAGACAGCGGTGCGACACCAACCGACTTGTCCTTCGCAGTCATCAACGAAGTCTTTTCCAGCCTTTTCGCATGCTTTATGCTGCTGCAAGCTCATTCACTGTTGCGGAGGAGAGAGGCAGCGGCAACGGCTCTTGAGTCACAGTTGCAGCAGAGGCAGGCCCATGTCCAGGAGACAGAGAAGATCCTGCTGGCTGCCCGCAGGCTGCTTAATGTGACTTGCGACTTCTGCGAAAGGCTGACGAAAGATTGGCACATTCACGAAATGTCACCGCGGGCCAAGCAGCTTCTGCAATGTCCGATAAACTCAGAGAGTGTGCCTTTCCTTGACTTCGTCTCCCAAGAGGAGCTGGGCATATTCGTAGCCACTATACAAAAAGGGACTCATGTTCATTGTGCTTGCTGCAGGACATCGGGCGTGTCGTCAGCTTCATAAAGGCAGCTGAGGATTCGGAGGCAGTTGCGGCGCTGCATCTTCGCATGCAGACATTCAATGGCACAGCTCCTTCGCTCGCGTGTGAGGTTTTCTAGTTGTTGCGAGCAGTTGCTCTTGCACATTGAGTACCGGGTCCGTGGTTCGACGTTTGTGGTTTATCCCGTTGGAGATGACTAGTTCGTTCGCACGCCTTCGCGAGGCCTTTGATGCACAGCTGTTTCACGTCCATGTTCCCAGCATCCTCTCCGAGCAGCCGGAGCACTTGATCGGGATTGTTGCAAACGGCCTGCCTGACCCGACGGCCGATGTCATAAGCATTCCAGAGGACGGCATTCTAGACACCAGCCTTGACATGCCTGATCTGGCCAGTCGGCAACGACGCCGGCCGAGCCGTGTGTCCAGGTCGTCCAAGTCCAAGACGTCCAGCATTGATTCTGCTTCCACCTCAAGGGAGAAGTTTCTGGGTTGGGACTTCCTGCCTGGAGTCCGTGATGCATTGCCAGATGTTGAACGAGTGACGCTTGGTGTAGATCTTCACACAGGCATGGATGGCTATGTCGTCCGCTCCATGAAGGTCTGCTTCAAGCCATCTTCGACCACCGACAAGCTCCCCAAGTTATACAGCTGGGTGAAGCAGAGGCACCAGCCTCGTGTCGAGGACTGGATTCAAGAGCACGTGAATTTATGGTACTGCGACGAGACCACAGATGAGCAGTGTGTCGGTATTCACTTCGATATCCCGTACCTCGGTGCGAGGATTGCCGTTGGAGTGATGTCTGCAGGGCAGATTCTTCAAAGCGATGCAGCTAGCGGAGATGGGTACGAGCTCCAAATGGACTTGGACTTGAAAAATCTCGTCCCATGTTAAGGAAGCGAAGGCTTCCATATGCTAGTCATGTATAGAAACAGCCCTCGGGAGTGGGCCGCGGGCATGCTCCCGACGACCTACCCTCTAAGCATCGTGGAGAAACAGGGGCAACAGAGGGCTTCGCATGTCTGAATGTCACATCTGCAGTGCCGCTGAGAGGCGTGTGTTTCGGCCAGGATCGTTCATCCTTCCTCACCACCTCGAGCGAGCTTGGCTGCAGCACTAGAATGCACGGCCTTCTGTGCGGCGGTGGCTGGAGACCACCAGGACTTGAAGCTGCAGGGCTAACGCGCGACATCCATGTCAAAAGCCGGAGAGGACAGAGAGAAGGCCATCTGGTGGCAAGGCATGCACTTGTTTGGCTCGAATGCTGAAGAGCCAGCCCAAACTGTGCAGTGCCTGTTTCGTGCCGTCGCAACTCAGTTTGAATTGTTGGACCGCATAGACACATTCGCATGAGTTCGCACACTCAGGTCTCTGCAGGTCTCGACGTACAGTAGCAACTTCCTGTTTCGAAACCTGATTAATTTCTTGAAACAGCTTGACAACATGCTGTAGCCACGATTGCACTATTCTGAAAAGTCAGACCCCTGAGTGCTCAGGTCTGCGAATGTTGAAGCTGTACTCCCTGGTTCGATGTATTCAGTTACCACTTCTTTGGAGCACATGCTCAGCCTTGCGATCCATGGGCTCCGACGAGGCTTATGCAGCCCGGATGCAGATTGCAGCTGTATCGTGGCCTGCTTATGTTGGCGCCTGCATCGCACAGAGTTGCAGGTCGCTGCCATTCCCAAGCAGTACGTGGTCGACAGGATGATGGACGTCACAAAACTCTTCAATGGTAAAACGCGTGTGTCTCTGCCAGGAGGCCCCATCTTCAAATGCTACTGAGCCTCGTTGGATTGCCCACATGGGAGTCTAAGCTTGAGCCTGTTTCAGGAGCAGTGAGTGATCATATGGGCCTTTGGCAATCCACGGACTCCTATAACCGTGTAATGTCCTGTCACGGAGAAGCTTCGCAGAACTCACGCGTTACGTGATGTTTCTGCCATTGCGATGGCGACTGCAATCTGACTCATCTCAGGCTGCAAGAGTCGACCAAATGACCTGGGCCTACTTGTAGACGAGGCGATTAGGGCGTAGATCTGTTTCAGAGGAAGCTCTTGATAAACCGATTTCGGATGCCTGTTCACCGCCATCTCGCTCCCAGCTACGCGACCTGCAGTGGCGGTGCCATGTTGCTTAACAGGCAGTAGGAAGCACAGTTGAACTTGAGGTCAACTTCTTTCTTTATCCCTGTGTTAAACTGCTACTGTATACAGCGACCTGTTAATTAAGCTTCAAGTGTGGAGCTTGGTCCCCTGCAGTCGCAAGGCAGGCGAAAAGACGCACGAGCTGTTGCAGGCAGGCCTGCGGCTTCATGCCGCACCCGCACGTACTGCAGCAAGCCAAGCAGGCAGAGCGAACAAGCAGCCGCAACACCACGGAACGAGTGCAAACGCCAATTTCATACAGAAGAAACGATCACGAAGCCAGATCGAAGCACAGCGAGAGACACAGAGAACACCACAGGAAGGTGTATTTGCGCGATTGCTCTTTTATCTGGGCCTTTGCTGTTGTCCGGATTTAAGCGGATATAGGCCGGCAGTCTATTGCTGCACAGACGCCCGTCACTCAACAGAGCAGCGCGAGAAAAGTCAAAGGGTTCGATGTGGAGCGAAATCAATAAAAAGGGGATTGCACTGGTCATTTGCCACATTTGCTCTTACAGGTACTCGTAGCTTCTGATCCGCACAGTTCGGGCAGGCGTGGCGAACAAGCGCTGAACTGCCGGACAGGACAGTACAGCTAAATCACCCACCGAACAAACACGTACCCTGAAGTAGGTGTTGCTGACTATATGTAATTAATATGACACTAGCGAATACACCTCTACATGTATGCTGGCCTGGGCACCTATGTAAATAAGTATTTGTGTTACTGGGCGCACATATGTAAGTATGCACCCTGCACACAGTATGTTGATGTGGTTACTCATGTTCACCACTTGGTTTAGTTCGGCCGCGTAGACAGCGGAGTATATCTACCTGGTGTATAGAGGGAATGAGCAAGTATGTTCATATTGAATGACATGCGCACCCGCTCCATCAATTTCTTGAAGTGTGCACGTGTCGTTTATGCTGGTAGTCTTAGATCCTGTAATTGAAGACTTTGTAACCTCTTCCCGACTAAGCAAGTGACGAAGTCGGCCTGCTGACGCGGCAGGTGGCCAATGTTTGCAAACGAACAGATTTCCAGAAAGCAAGCATGACTTTAGCGGCCAGGGTTGCCGGGGCTTGGTCGGCGTCCGCTTCAAATCCTTCACAAGGTATGAAGAGCATCCCGAACCTGGCTGCAATTGCTTAGGACTTGTTGGGGCTACGGCTACGTGTGTTTACAAGTTGTTTCGAAGCTACCTGGGGCCCTAGGGCAAGCGCCGGCAAATTCTATAAAGTGTGTTTGAGGCTCCGTTCAGGAGTTGCCTTAACTTCATTTGCACTGGACCGAGGCCATTGCAATGCTATGATTACCGCATCGCAATCGGTTCGCACACACACGAACAAACACACGCACATACAAGCAGACACACACACACACACATACACACACTTAGACATCCATCGCGCAGCCACTAATCAATTTGGTTATCAAGCACAGCTTGATGTATCTCGAAAGCATGAAGCTTCCAGGGGGGTCCGGTACCAATCTGGCCTCAAGGCTCATCTTCGCTTGATCTCAGACTTATTCACTGTACAAGGCAAACTCCTCCAAACCTGCACATTCGATTTCCATTGGGGTTCTAGGCTTAGCCCCAAGCCATATCACTTGCAGAGACACTTGCAGACACACTTGCAGGTACACCAAGCTGATCAGGCTTGGCTTCCCTCTCTGATGCATAGCTTCGTTGGGTACGGTAGCATCAGAGAGCCGTACCCCCCTGCTATTTTCAGCAATTCAGCACTACTGTCCAACGTGTTTCAAAAACGGTTCCTCTTGGTAACAGAGGTCCACACACACAGTAAGCCACTAAGGCGAAGCAACCTAGGGTCTGGACTCCAAACGAGGACGGTTTTCGTCCGAATATGGCTCAGCCCAGTGAAAGGTCAATGGTACTATATTGTTGACAGTACTGAGTTTGACAAAGTACGGTAAATGAGTCCCGCTTTGCGTAAGTTTAAACGTACGCTTGGGGATGCGATTCCACTCCAAACTGATCATCTCTTTAAGGTCGTCGATAATGCCTTCGGCCGGAATGTCGAAACATGCAACCGTGGCACCATCATGGCGGCCACCAGAAGGCAGATTTTCAATCCAGAATCCTCGGGTCATCCGCAGCGGAGGCAGATGTTTCGGTGTCCGAGGGAGAATAAGTGGATCATCATCTTTTTCGCCATCAGGTGGAAGCGACGCTTGTGCAGCATCTCGTTTCATGGCAGAAAAAGCTACACGTACACTGGGTCGCTGTTGCGTGGGAGCAGGAAAACTGTACAGGCGAGTGCTCTCACTGTATGCAGGACAGAAAAATGTGAGTCAGGTCACAAGGTCATGCCAAGAATCTCTGGTAGTTTTTCCAGCAAGTGACATGTAATCCTGTACACGTCCGGTGTCCAAATCAAAATAAGAATCAAACGTTTCGGTTGGGACACTGTGCAACATACCAAAAATGGCAAGCACAACGGAGGTTAGCTCTGACCAGCATTTTTGCACAGGCCTTTGACCGTGCTGCCGGATTTCGGTGAAACTGCATCGGATCCCCAAGCGTGATATCACTCGCTTCAGAGGGAACAGGTGAACGCTCACGTTTGTCCTTCTTAGACTTCATGGACTTCGGAGACTTATTTGGTGACCGGTCCTTTTTCAGCCTTTTGGACTTCTTGGACTTCTTGGTCTTCTTGCACTTGTTGGAGGACTTCTTAACCCAAGACGCCACCTCTGTGGGTGCCGAGTCTTTGGGAGGATCGAAAGCCGAAGACCAGGAGCTGGCATCATCAGGAAGGTCATCATATGGTACCCCGTTGTCTTGACGGGAAGCCATGCCGGTGTGTCGAGAAATCAAGACGGAAACGGCTGGCGGCACCACATGAGTAAAAAAGGAAAAACGCCTTCGGCTTCACGAGAGACAGAGAGAGAGGGGCGAGAGAAAGGGCGAAAGAGACATAAAACCGAGCGTAACGCTCCTACGCGCTGTTTTGCAGTGCGCAAAGACGGTTCCACTTCAGTGGTGCAGGCGCTCTAATCCAGTAATGATGAAAGTCCCAAAAATGTCAATTGGGAAAACGAATTAAGCAGACAAGTCGTCTGCTGTTCCAGCATGACAAAAGCTCTCACGGTGATGCATCTCGCTTGCGTTTTCGGGGTGACAAAGAATTAGCGCTCTCAGTAGGGAGGTTCAAGTCCACCGAAGAAGTGGTCTGAGAAGCTTGGTGCCACTGATTGTCAGCAGCCAAACGATCCGAAATCCAGCGAGAGGTGGCGGGAAACCAAGATTTCCACCACGTTTCATTGCCATTGGGTCCTTGATTTTTCACCCAATAAAATCGCCACGAAACAGTCGGAGAACGCGATCGGGATCGATCCGACATGGCGTGTACCGCTGAAAGCCGAACGCTGGAACTGAACAGCGCAATTTAAAGATCCTAAGCGGACACATTGCATGCAAGACTCTTCTGCATATACATTCTGTATTGCAACAGTCTTTTTCCATGCATGAAAGACTCCATGTATCTTAAGCCTCTCTCTGTACATCGGAGACCGGTAAAGCTTCGGTGCTTCGTACAGAGTACTCCAAGCCAGGCCAGCTGACTCCCCAATCCTGTCCTTCCCCCGTTTCAAAAGTAATCGGCCGGGGATTGTTGGGGGTGGACATCGGCAACGTAACGGAATGGGTGCTTGACAAAATCCAAATTTTGTCAATGCGTCCTGCGGCTTCACGCACCGCCCAGCGCTTATCTCCTGAAGGGGAGTGTACAAGCGGGTGGAACTTGCACAAATGTCCTTCATGTACAGTGCTGGAGGACTTGGATTTGTGATGCGCAGATCCAAGATATCCTCCCACGACCACTCCTGCGGAATTCTTCGTGGAGTGGTGCAGTTTTGACACGAAGTCTAACTTGCTCTCTTCATAGTGCACGTGTTGTGTGGCTTTGCCATAAAAGGAGCACACATGATCGTGCGGCGCCACATGTACAGCTTCGGCGCTAGAGCGAATGACTCTGCCCAACGTGAGG